GCGTGACTTGTGTTACTACACACTGGGCAGGAACCAGGAGCGAATGTGGATCACCTGCCCGGCAGCCTGACAACTGTGACTGTCTCACACACATGGGCACCTCTGCGTGTGCAGACACACTAGCACACACCATATCACATACATAAAATGTGCCACTTAACAACTCAGTGGCACTGGTTACAGTCACGGTACTGTACAGCTATCCCTTTAATACATTTTTATTTAAACAGTAAACATTTTTCAGTGACAGCCATAGATAATGGGCCAGTGTTGCTTAGAATACATAAAGCTTCCCATGTGGGGGAGAAATAGAAAATTTTGCAAAAAAAAAAAATGATGGGATTCATGTGTTTTTTCAAATGAGAATTCTTGGGGACTTCAGCAGGGTTCTGTGAATGAGAATACTCTCGGGCATCAGCGATCGTGGATAAAACTGTGTAACTCATTAACGAAATCAATTCAGAAAAAAAAATAATCTATCAACAATTTCACAAAGTCACCCACTAATCCCACTGAACCCTTGGGAAGTTGTTAAAAAGCAATTATTAAGGACAAAGCTTCAAACACAAAAGACGCTTGACGTAGTCTATTGAAAATGAAGAGGAAGAGGAGGGAAAGGAAAAAGGAAGGAAATGAAAAAAAAAAACACACACACAGGGAGAGCCAAAAACGCACAAGTCAAAGAACAGAAATGCACGTTCACACGACACACCGTGCTGCCATGGTGACCAAATGGGCGTCACAGGTTGCCTCTGTGTGTGTGTGTGTGTGTGTGTGTGTGTGTGTGTGTGTGTGTGATTCTAACTGGACAGTCAGCCCGAAAGGCACCGACTCTTGTATCCTTGGGTCCCCAGCTGGGCTGAGGGGTGACTGCAGTTCTGGCGGCCACGGCTGGTCACCTTGGGCCCACAGAAAGCCTTTAAAAAATGATCGGTGCAGGGGCTGGAGCGATAGCACGGTGGGGATGGACAGTGTTAGCTTTGCACGCGGCCAACCCAGGTTCGATCCCCGGCATCCCATAAGGTCCCCCGAGCACCGCCAGGAATGATTCCTGAGTGCAGAGCCAGCAGTAACCCCTGTGCATTACTGGGTGTGACTCAAAAAGCAAAAAAAAAAAAAAAAAGTGATGGGTGCCTCTCTGGCCTCTTTTGGCAGGCAGACAGCTTCGGTTGGTGTTCTTAGCACGAGCTGACTCCATAAGCACTAGAGAAATGTCACTGGCCCAGCGGTGGTCCGAAACCCCGCACCCAACGCTGTGTGGACATGAGCCTGGGAGCGTCCCATGGGTGGCCCCGTCCTGTGCTGGCATGGCCTCGGGGCTGAGCGTCTTTGGTGGGTGTCACAGGATCCGCCTGCCTGGGGCTGGCTGCTGGGTGCAGGCGTCCTTGGGGTGGGCCTTGCCCCGCCCCCCACGTGCTCTGAGGCGTTCTACGCGATAAGACTAGCCTGGGTGAATCTGGCGGTCCAGAAGGGTCTCTGAGACCTTCCACCAGGGATGGGACATCACTTCTGGGTGCCCTTCAGCACGGGTGCTCGCGGAAAAGAGAATTATTCAGCCGGCCACACGAGACCTGGCTCTGAGTGGGCCAAAGGCCATAGACACTCTCATCCTGCAATCTCACAACGTCCCTCCCACTACACAGCTCTGCCCACGGAGGGAAAGAAATGTCTGGGTGGGTCTTTTGTTTGTTTTTTCCAGAGGCGGGATACCGGAAGTGCATAGAAGCTGCCCTTGGCAGTGTCCAGGTGACCACCAGGTAAGGGGGTCAGAGGGGGGTGGGGGAACCTGGGGTTTCCACACCCAGTCGAGGTCTCCGAGCCATCTGCCCAGTCAGAGGATTGAGCAGTTTTACACCAAATGGGACGTGCTAAATCATGATTCCGAACTAGAAGCGTTCAATAACAGCAATATCTTTATTAGTTAACTCAATAAAAATAGATCCGTGCCCGTAGGGTCTGTACACCAGCGCCCAAGTGAGAAGTCTGGTAGCGATCACAGCTTTCCTTCTCTTGGTGGGGTCTGAGAAGGGCCCACCAGGGCTCCCAGTGGCGAGATTACAGCATCTGACAGAGCCAAAGAACGGCGATGGCTCATCTTTTACAGCTGGGCCAATCTCTGTTGCTAAGAACTCGTCATGCTTGATTAAGATTTTTATTTTTGCATCATAAGAGAGTGAGGGGCCAAAGAGACAGCAAAGCAGGTGGGGGCAACGGCCGTGATGTGGCTGACCTGGGTTCAATTTCTAGCAGCCCTCACAGTACCAAGCACCTCCAGGAGTGATCCCCCAGCACAGAGTCAGGAAAATCTTGAGTACAGCTGGGAGTGGCCCGTAAACCAAGATGAGGACAGAGGAGAGAGAAGAGACAGGGAGAGGGAGAGGGAGAGGGAGAGGGAGAGGGAGAAAGAGAGAGACAGAGACAGAGACAGAGACAGAGAGAGAGAGAGGAGGAGAGGAGAGGAGAGGAGAGGAGAGGAGAGGAGAGGAGAGGAGAGGAGAGGAGAGGAGAGGAGAGGAGAGGAGAGGAGAGGAGAGGAGAGGAGAGGAGGAGAGAGGAGAGAGGAGAGGAGAGAAGAGGGAGAGGGAGAGAAAAGGAGAGAGAGGAAGAGAGGGGAAGAGAGAGGGAGAGAAAGACAGAGGGGGAGAGAGGGGGAGAGAGGGAGAGGAGAGAGAAGAGAGAGATGGAGAGGGAGAAGAAAGAAAGGAAGAGAAGGAGAGAGAGAGGGAGAGGTGGAGAGAGAGGGAGAGAAAGAGAGAGAAAGGGAGAGGAAGAGAGAGAGAGAGAGAGAGAGCGCTGACTCGTCTCTCATGACGGCCCCCCGGTGACACCAGACAGCAGAACGCAGTGGTCTGGACGCTGGCCCAGGTGGGCTTCCCTGTGCGCTGGGGGGCGCGTGCTCAGGAGGGCCAAACCCCACGTTCCTGCCTGAGCAGTTCTTCCCCCTGAACCTCCCCGCACCGGCAGCTCCCTCTGCCCGGCAGAACTCTGACCACAGATGACCTGAGGACTCACAGAGATCCCAAACGAGAGGGGAGTGGAGCGTGAGTACGCGGGGACGGGCACACAGCCCTTCCTCCCTGCACGCGTGCGGGGTTTCCGTTAAGAACCTGTCCGCACGGCCTCACCCCTGCAGCCCCAGAGTGAGCACAGAGCACGGAGCCCACAGGGGACAAGCACCGGCAGCAGGAAGCCCTTTCCTCCAACCAACAGCGGCTTCTCTACCCCTGAATGAATGGCCCCAACTCCCGAAGAAGATGCCTTCACATCCTCCAGCCCAGCAAGGGCGGCACCGGGCCACATGGCCCCAACTGGCACTCAGCCGCCCACCCACTCAGCGACTCAGTCACCCACTCACTCACTTACACACTCAGCCAACTCAATCACTCATTCAGACACACACACACACTCACTCTCTCTCTCCCGGTTCTCTCTCTGAAACCACCAAGATTCGGTTTCCACCACCACGTCTCACTTTCGATTAAATCCTCGCCTTCTACTTTTGCGGGTTCTTATGTAAGTGGTCTCAAAATATCAGTCTCCCTGGAGATCGATACTGATATAAATCAGCCACAAAGAGGCCAGAAGAGTAGCACAGCGGGGAGGGCGTCTGCCTTGCACGTGGCCGACCCGGGTGCGATCCCCAGCATCCCATAGGGTCCCCCGAGCCCCGCCAGCAGTCATTCCTGAGTGCAGAGCCAAGGAGGAACCCCTGAGCATCGCCGGGTGTGTGGTCCAACATCAAGAAACAGCGACGATAAGATACAAATAAAACACTCCCCTGAGAGGCCCCTTTCTTGCTCGAGACGGACGGACGCTGTCAGCCAGGAGCGTGTGCGGATATCGGGCGCGTGTCAAAGTCAGCAACTGTGACGGAGGGCCGTGTCGCACTCTGACCCGCTCTGTGGGCTGTGATGCCAGAAGCACGGCCCCCACCCTCCCGGGGGTCACACCCGCCTCCTGTCCACCCTGCCTGACCCTGTGTCCTGCTGCCCTCCCTCCGGCCCGCTATGAGCTGCCCAGTGCTCGCTGAGGCCAGACACCAACTGGGGCCCAGTGCAAGTCCCTTTCAGGACCCGCCAGCTCAGCCCCACCCCAGGGAACTCGGCCAACCTGAAGGTCCCGTCTCGCTCCCGTCCGGAGGTGGGTCATAGCACCGGCTTGTCCCTCCCCCTTGGCGGAGGTGCCTGGGGCCGCCCTGCAGTCACCCCTCACCCGGGTCCTTCCCCACTCGCCTTCTGAGCAGACCGGTCACTCACCCCGACCGGGAACAAGGAGACGCAACCGACACTCAGCACGCGTCGAACTCATTGACGGGCTGGGCTGACGGCCGTTAATCCGCCTCAGAATTTAAACACGGAGTTAAACAAACGACCTTTCTTCCCCTCCAGACTGACGGCAGGAATGCCAGGGCAAAGAGAACCACCTTGCCTTACATCCAGACTCCACACTGCTGGGCAGTTCCGTGCCGGTCGGCCCCTTCACGAGGCGTGCGTGTACTCGGCGCAGAGCCAGGCGCTGGCGGGGGTCCCCGCCCAGGGTGGGAGGTCTGGGGGTCGGAGCACAGGCTCAAGTGTGTGATGCTGCCCAGGCCCTGAATGCAGGGGTCCCCTGGGCCACACCAGACCACACTGGGCAACACTCGGGGGGCCAAGCTAGACACTGCAAGCATCATGCCCCGACCACCGTCCTCACACCCCAGGAGGGCATCTTCCTGCCACTCACTTGGCGGGACCCTCCCAGACCCCTCGAGCTCCTCATGCCAAGTGTTTCCCATAACTAGCTCATGTCATCACAACTGTGCCACGAGGGGGTGGCTGTCCTAACCCCCACCTCACAGACGAGGAACCGACATCAGTTGGTGTGATTCATCCAGTGCCCGCAGGGAAGAGCAGAGCGCCTCCCCGGAGAGCCTGTGTCCAGCAGGGAGCCCGGCCCCGCTCCGAAGCAGCCGGAGGAAGCAGCCTCTGCCAGCGGCGTGCACGGTGCAGGGTCCGACTCACCTGTTCTCTTTGCACACGGTCACCCGGTCTCCCCCAGGGATCAGCTTCTTCTGCTCGGCCACGCCGTAGCTCTCTCGGCAGATCTGCAGCCAAAGGAGAGACCCGGGTTCCCCGTTAGGCGCTGAGGGGCAGATGCAGGGTGCCGGGTCAGGTCACTCGTTTTCCCGGAAAACTCTCGGGAGAGATGCATGAGGCTGCATCGGGGAAACTCACCCCGAGAGGCGCCTTTCAAGGGAAGGAGGTGCCGGTCGATGCAGTCAAAGAGAAAAGGGCACAGATGGGAGGGGGGAAATGAACGGATTGGAAGGGGAGTGACGCTTAAATGGCTTTATTAGGTGCACAGACAAATCAGTCACTGGGTCACTCAGCGTGTTGACGGATCCCTCTGACACAAACGCTAAGGCAATTTAGTTCAGAGCAAGCCCTGACGAAAGGTTTGCTATCTTTCTGCGGGTACAACGGAAGAGACAGCCACCAACAACACAAACTGGGCAAATCCTTACCGTGAAGGTGAGGCAGAAGGTGTCCTCGATGTCCTCCCCGGGGTAATCTAGAAGTTCTTGAAGACTCCTAAGTGTCGGACGACAGAGAGAGAGAAGAAGGCAAATGAGACACTGAGAAATGTTTTTCCCTCAGTCACTTGTCCAGATTGTTGCAAGGAAGAGACTGTAAGACACAATTCTGGAACCAACACAAACCTAGACTGAAGGGGAATCACATCCTCTAAGAAGAACCGTGAGACCCCCATTCCTTGTTCTAGTTTTTACTCACAACTCTTACTGGATTTAAGAATAAAATCAGATCGGTGGGTCTCTACCTTATACACCTGAATTCTTCTAGCCCTGGTCTTACTTGGACGTAAGTATGGGAGGTGACACACTGCAGTGGCCCATACATATGCATAAATAGAATAATCCGGGGGCTGGAGCAATAGCAAAGTGGGTAGGGCATTTGCCTTGCACGTGGCCAATAGGGGTTCGATTCCCAGCATCCCATAGGGTCCCCCCGAGCAATGCCAGGAGTGATTCCTGAGTGCACAGCTAGGAGTAACCCCTAAGCATCACTGGGTGTGATCCAAAAAGCAAGAAAAGAAAAGAAGAATCCTCCATCCGGAGATCTGAAACATTGGTTAAGACACCAGCCTTGCATGGGGCTGGCCCCGGCTTGGTCCCCTGCGAGTTCAGATACTCCTGAGGGCTCTTCTCATGTGTCCCTGTGAGCACCACACACAGCTGTGGGAGCACCCTAGCCCTGGGCACAGGGCAGAGTGCCATGGACGGAGAGAGAAAGCCCTGGGAAGCGCAGGAGACCCACGCCCTGCTGAGTACCCAGCCACAGCCAGGGAGGCAAGGGGGCAAGAGACTAGGAACAGCGACTGAAGAGAATCCCCAGCTTTTTTTTTCTTCTTTTTCTTTTTGGGTCACACCCGGCGATGCTCAGGGGTTCCTCTTGGCTCTGCACTCAGGAATGACTCCTGGCGGTGCTCAGGGGACCCTATGGGATGCTGGGGATTGAACCTAGGTCAGCCACATGCTAGGCAAATGCCTCTCTGCTGCCCTATCCCTCCAACCCCAAGAATCCCGTTTTGAAAGGGCAAAAGAAAAAGAGAGAGAAGGAAAGTGCCTGCCCTAGAGGCAGGCTGGGCAGGGGGTGATGGGGGGGAACCTGGGGACACTGGTGGTGGGAAATGTGCCCTGGTGGAGGGAGGGTGTTGGAACACTGGATGACTGAAACCTAAACACGAACAACTTTGGAATGTGTATCTCACAGTGTGGGCTGGGGCGATAGCACAGCAGTAGGGAGTTTGCCTTGCACACAGCCAGCCCAGCTGGGCCGGGTTCGATTCCTCCGCCCCTCTCGGAGAGCCCGGCAAGCTACCGAGAGTATCCCGCCTGTATGGCAAAGCCTGGCAAGCTACCTGTGGCGTATTCGAGATGCCAAACACAGTAACAACAAGTCTCACAATGGAGACGTTATTGGGCTCACCCGAGCAAACTGATGAACAATGGGAGGACAGTGATACAGTGACAGTGAACCAATAATATAGAAATATATATATATATATATATATATATATATAGTTTTTAAAGGAGTATCAAGTTTTCCTTGATTCTGGCCCTGGTGCTGCTCACTGCAAGGAGGGCATGCCTGGCCAGTGTAGGGCTCGGCCTGGCCCCTGGCACTGCTGGACCCGAGCTCAGAGCAGCCAGGACAGGACACCAGGCCCCCTGGACACTGCTGGGTAAGGTCTCTCCAATAAAGATGCTTCTTATGATGGTGGCATGAGTATCAGAACATACTACACACACTGAGCTGTCCCCTGGAACCCTGGAATCAGTACATAGATAAGAGAGTAAGCTGATGTATATATATATATATATATATATATATATATATATATGGTTTTTTTTTTGGAGGGCCACTCCCAGCAGTGCTCTTGGGTTCCTCCTGTTTCTGCACTCAGGGACCACTCCTGGCGATGCCAGGGACCCGTACAGGCTGCCGGGGGTCAAACCCAGATTGGCTACGTACAAAGCAAGCACCCTGACCACTGTGCTCCGGCTCCGGCCTCACACAGCTTTCAGCAAGAGCCCTTCCCTCCTCTGGAATTCCTCTGTTGAGGTGCCTGTTCTGTTGTTTGGGATCAGGAAAGCAGCACCCGCTAGGGAGCCCCCGTTTTCCCGCTGTCTGGTTTGGAGGAGGCAGGTGCGGGCGCGTCTGCACTGCCCAGTGCCCCCTGCCATCTGCGTCACTCTGCCCTTCTGACACGCGTGTGGCGGGCAGGGCCGGTCCCTCCCGGTCCACCCGAGCTCGGCTCCGCACCTCCCCTCGGTGGGGGACAGCTCCTTCAAGTCTTCCAGGCCAGGCGGGACGTTGAGCAGCTTCTTGTAGAGGGCCAGGGGGAAGTGCAGGTCCACCACGGTGGAGTTGTAGATGGCCAGCCCGCAGGTGATGCCGATCAGGTGGAACCAGTTGTGCTCTACAAAACACTTTTCGGCGGGAAGCAAATGGGTTATTACCAAGAAACCACCCAAGGCAGTGTCTATGGCCCTCAGAATACTCTGCCGTCTGCCTCTAAGCCTGACACCAGAGCCAATGCTCCGAGAAGCTGCCGCCAAGATTGGGCCGGCGGCTGCGGCTCAGAAACTTCTCATCGCCGTGGGGAACATGCTACCAACAGAACGTTGTCAGGGACGGAAAGGTTCTGCTCTGCCACATCACAGTGCCTACTGGTCTCCGGGACAACAGCCCTGGGCAGTGTGCAAATGGGAAGATGATGCTTCGGCGATCATTTTAATAAAACAAAATGTCAATAACCACACGTGGTTAGTGGTGACCTTTTGAGACGGGACAGCTCTGGGGAGAAAACGAAGAAGAACCAAACTATCATCCTCCTGGAATCCGAATGTTCGTTTGAGTCTTGGGCCACACCTAGTGGCCTAGCGAGGAGACCCTATGCGGTGCTCGGGGTCAGACCCGCGTCAGCTGCTTGGGGGGGGGGGGGTAAGCACCCACCCTACAGTAGTGCTATCCCTTGGGGCCACAGTGCCTTTGAAGACTTAGCCACCTTTCTCCGGAATCTTCAAAAGGAAAGTACGGGTGAGGGCCAGGGAGACCCAAAAGGCTGGGATACAGATGTGCACGTTGGTGCCCGGGCATGATCCAAGAACGACAGGGTCCCCTGAGAACCTGGAAGTGACCCCAAAAGAAAAATGAAAAAGCGTGTGTTTGCAGGACCAGCCCGACTCACGTTACCAGTGTTCCTAGGGGAGGCCTCTCTGTCCCTTCCTGCCCACCCTGGCAACGCACCCCCTTCCTCACGCTTGGCTCATCTGCCCTTCCTGGGGCGGGGGAGGGGACTTGGCCTTCGGCTGCAGGAAACTGCTCACACATGTCCCCACCTCTGGGGACACCGGGACAATCCAGGGGGCAAGGGAGACACAGGTGCCATCAGGGACACTTGCAGGGGACTCATTTCAAAGGTAGATTTGTAGCAAGGTACAGAGTGAATTTTTTTTTTCCCTAAAAACGGGCAGGTAGCTCGAGAAGTTTGGGAACCTCTGTGCTAAGGTCTTTGTCACAGGATCAGATGATGACTGACTTTTGTCTTTTCTCTTTGGCCGGTTAATATTCCACTGTGTCTGTGTACCATAGTTCCTTTATCCAGTCCTCTAGTCTTGGACACTCGGGCTGTTTCCAGATTTGGGCTACTGTAGAGAGCACTGCAAGGAACACAGGAGTCACGCTAAGTGGAGTCAGTGAGAAGGAGAGGCCAGCACAGGTGACCTCTCTCCTAGCTGGGGCGCAAGGGAACATAAAAGGGGGAGGAACCAACGCCCAACGGCAATGGAAGCGAAGGCCATGAGAACTGGTCATTGGCAGGAAAGGGGCTACTTGAGGGGCCAGGGGTGGCAGGGGGCAACGCCTATGGTAAGGGAAGATCAACTGGAAGGAGGCGGTGGTGAGACATGGGGGAATGTATTCTGTACGAAACCCGGTTAGCAACAGCACTGTGAACCACAGTGCAAAAATGTGTATCCAAATCAGCATGCCTTGGTAGATGTGCGCTGAAAGTAGACTATGGACCAAACACGATGGCCACTCACTACCTGCACTGCGAACCATAACACCCAAAAGGAGAGAGAGAGTAAGAGGGAATGTGTCTGCCACACAGGCAGGCGGGGGATGGGGCGGGGGTGGTGGGAGGGATACTGGGAACATTGGTGGTGGAGAATGGGCACTGGTGGAGGGATGGGTATGACTGAAACGTAACCACGAAGTTTGTAAGTCTGTAACTGCATCCCACTGTGATTCATTAAAATAAGAAAAAATAAAATAAAATTTAAATAAAAAAAATTAAGGGGCTGGAGCAATAGCACAGCGGGTAGGGCGTTTGCCTTGCACGCGGCCAACCCAGGTTCGATTCCCAGCATCCTACATGGTCCCCTGCGCACCGCCAGGGGTGATTCCTGAGTGCAGAGCCAGGAGTAACCCCTGCGCATCGCCGGGTGTGACCCAAAAGGCAATAAAAAAATAAAAAATAAAAAATAAATTAAAAAAGCGTGCCTCCCTCACAGAGGCAGAGTCGGGGGGTGGGAGGGCCAGGGTGCGAGGAGGGGATATTATTGGTGGAGGGACGTGGGCACTGGTGTTGAAAGAATGTATGCCTGAAACCCAACCATGAATAAATTTATAACCTCACGGTGATTAAAAAGAATTTTCGAAATGAAAAATACATTCAAATCCCCAAGAGCCAACACTATTGTGAGCCTGTGACCCAAATTATCATGAATAAATTTCTTTCAAGTGAGTTTGCTAAAGAGGCGATGTAGGGGACGGGAAGAAAATCTGGGTCACTGGGATAATGACACTGGTGGAGGGGGGGAGTATTGGAACATTGTATGCTTGAAATTCTATTATTAAAATGTGTGTAAATAAAAAATGAAGACTGAGAAATTTATTTGTTCCCGTAACTATCTTTGTTATGCTTCCCTGTGGACAGTCCGGTGGGGCTGGCCTCACAGTTAAAAGGAAGAGGAGAGAAGTACAACAGTACAGTGGGAAGGGCACTGCATGGCCGATCCGGGTTCGATTCCTGGCACCCCATGTGGCCCATTGATCCCAGCAGAAGGGATTCCTGAGTGCAGCGCCAGGACTGACCTCCGGGCACTGCCAGGTATGGCACCAAAGAAACAAAAACCAGAAAAGGAAGGTCAACCCAACCCATGTGTTATCGACATGACTAACTTACCGTATCTGAAAACCACAAGAGATTCGAGTCCTGGTAGTAGGTGAACATGCCATAGATGGGGTTCAGCAGCTCCTTCAGCAGCAGGAGGAAGAACTCCTTGGTGACCCCCCCGGCGTCCACCGCTTCCTCGCCGTCAAAGATTACCTTAAAAGAATGAAAACAGAATTTATACTCAAGCGTTCAGGATTTTTTCAAAAACAACGAAGTCTTGGGGCTGGAGCGATAGCACAGCGAGGAGGGAGTTTGCCTTGCATGCGGACGACCCGGGTTCGATTCCCAGCATCCCATATGCTCCCCTGAGCATCGCCAGGAGTAATTCCTGAGCGCAGAGCCCAGAGTAAGAGCAGAACCTGTGCATCAATGGGTGTGACCTCCCCCCCCAGGAAAAAAAATCAGCAACCCCCCCCCAACAAACAAAGAAACAAATTTCTTCCAAAGAATAAAGGTAAACATAGCCAAGTCCTGCTTACAGATTGCCAGCCCACCTCTGACTCACGAGGGTCTTCCAAACACAATGATGACTGAGGGGTCCGGAGCAAGTCCCGAGCCTGCCACATGCCCACTGCAGAGCGGCTCGCACCTGGGCAGATGGCGGGCAGGGTAGCCTCCAAGCTGGGGACAAATAATTCTGGGCTCTGTATTTTATGCATTCATTGTATGTTTTAAACTTTGGATAAATGCAATCTTTTCGCATCACTTTGGCAGTTTGTTTTTCTCTTAGGATTTTTGGTCAGCAAAGAGTATTAAATGTAAAGTCTAAATTTCTTATTTTCACATTGCTATTAATACTTTAATGAAATTCTAAAGAATTCATCCATTCCCCTATTAAAAGTTATCTGTGTTCACTTAAAAGAAAACTAGAGTTTTTACACTTTAAAATATTTCTCCATTCACCCCCAGCAAGAGATCTTTAGTTTATAAAGCCAGAGGTGCAACTGAAAGGTCATGGGGCCTTGATATATTCAGGGTTACAATCATTACCAAAATTACTCAAGATGGTTGTACTGTTTCCATCTCAAATGAATTTTATTTTCTGTATGTTCTTGCCAACCAGACTTGTTAATTTTGTATTTTGAAAATCTAATGGACACAGATGATATGTCATCTGACTTTTAATTTGTATTTATTTTATTAGCACTGTGATTGAATGTTTTTAATTTCCACAAATACTACTTTCAATTTTGCTATTTTAAATTTCATAGGTTCCTTAAAGGTCTATACTTTTGGTCACAGTGTCTAAAAAATCCGTCCCTGTTCATCATCATCTCGAATGTTATAATTTTACATTTTTGTAAAATTTATTTCAAATTTATTATTTTCCCTCTTTTTACCTCTGCAGAAGTTTGGTCCTGGTGATTTTTGGGAGCCTGAAGGTTTGGTTTTGCTTTGTTTTGATTCCTAAATTCCTGATTTCAATGGTTACTGAACTCTATGAGTGTTTTTCACTTCTGAGTCAGTTTTGAGCTAATAATTGGGCAATTTACCAATGTAAGAAAAAAATCAATTAGATTTTATTTTCAAAGACACAGCTATTGAGAGGTAAATGCCGCAGAGAGGAAAGCAGAGATTAAGGAAATGTATTCTGGAAGGAATCTCTCTCTGTCGGGGTCCTGAAGAAGCCCAAGCAGGCTGCTGAGAGGAGACAGTGCAAGGCTGGGCAGACCCCCACAGCGAAGCAGCCTTAATGCCACCGCCGGAACACCGCCGCACACCAACAAACGAGCTGTAATGAGCATCTTCCATGTGCCAACACGCAGCCGCCGTTAACCTAACCCTCAGAACTCTTCAACCAGAACACGTCCTGTATAGGGATGACCGTTATCTCCATTTTCTAGGGAGGGGCTCAGGCACAGGGCTGGAAAAAGCCCTCAGGAAAGCTTCTCCTGGTGCTTCTTTTCAAGGTTGCCCAGGGCAGGACTAACGGAGCAGAGCCAGGCAACGCCCTTGGGTTTCCAGAGCGACTGACAGTGAGGAGGGTGTGAGTGAGGGGTGGCTCCTTCTGTGGAGTGGAGACCGCCATCACCCAGGAGGGCTAGGGGAACCCGCAGGAAGCTCAGGGAAATGTCAGCAGGGGCCACCAGCTTCTGGCCTGCTGCGTTTCAGAGACATGAGCTGACCCCGGGACTGAGAACAGAAGTGCAGAAATGACTTCAAACACCTTCAGGAGCTCACGAACAGCTAGCGTACTCGAAGACTCGTACCAAGCTCTGGAACAGAAGCAGCACCAGGGCAGGCCTGGGTTCCTCGGCCACCTCAAAGGAGGGTTAAGAACCATGACCACACTATGCCAAAGCTCCCCGCCTACTCACCACCTATCCATCCTCCGTCTTGAACCTGCTTTCCCTAAAGTCCTTGCCAATCTAACCCGGTATGCAGGACCCATGTCTGAGAGCTCCAAGCCCACTGGGATTGGGACTGGGCCTCCTCCCCCCAGATCCCCAGTTTTCCAGGAGCTTGGCAGTCACACCCACAAACTGCCATGGCCCCATGTACTCTCATCAACAGCCAAGATTCAGAGACTATGAGATAAAGCTCCCAGAAGAGAGCAACACTGAACGTCCTGGAGTGCATGGCCGCATTTGCGGCCGCATGACTTCTTGTACCTTTGCCCACTTACTTACCAAAAGTAGCACACATTTGTTTGGGTTTAACATACTTGCTCATATTCTCTTATCTATGGGCTTAAATGGCTCCAGGACGAAATACAACAACCTTCACACACTTTCCTCTTATCGTGGTGGGAAGGTGCACAGCAGTGGGATTGGTGTTTGAATATTATCTGTAATGTACTACTGTGAACCATTTTATGAAAATAAAATATATAAAAATTTAAAAAAAATAAGTCCTTGCCATTCACAGCCTTCCCAGATTCTGCCAGTCCTCTCACCTAGTTAAGGTGGCACTTTTTGGCTGTTGTTTGCTTCTTGTTTGGGGGAAAACTGAGGAACGTCAGCTAGAGACATCAGAAGCAGAGCCAGCCCCGCGAGCCCTCTGGGACTGCCTGGAACACACGGGCATTCTTACTGGATCTTTCTTTGTGGGGGGAGAGAGGGGGCAGTGTTGGGCCACCCCCAGTGGGCTCAGGGCTTCTTCCTGGCTCTGCACTCAGGAGTCACTCCTTGGGGGGTTCAGGGGACCAGGTGGGGTGCCGGGGATCCAACCCCACTTGACTGCAGGCAAGTGAGTAGCTGATGATGGCTCTGACCCTACTAAGAGACTGTTGCTTTGACCGGAGGTATTGAGATTCTTCCAAAATGAGCGAATGAGGGGCTGGAGCAACAGCACAGCGGGTAGGGCGTTTGCCTTGCATACGGCCAACCCGGGCTTGATTCCCAGCATCCCATAGGGTCCCCTGAGCACTGCCAGGGTTAATTCCTGAGTGCAGAGCCAAGAGTAACCCCTGTGCATCACCAGGTGTGACCAAAAAGCAAGCAAACAGAATGAGCTAATGAGTGATGAACACCGCACGCCCATTTCCGTGGGAGCTCAGCTGCGTCCCCCACCAACACAGAAAGGGCCCGGGGGAGAGTGAGCATAGACCCCCAGCCGGGCTCACCTTGAGGGGCTTCTTCAGGTCGATGTCTGAGTGGATGCTCAGCTCCCGCAGGGCGTCGCCCACGAGGTTGTCCCGGCGGACATGGAGGACCAGGAATGGGCTTCTGGCCAGCAGAGGCTCCAGCGTGAGGAGCATGAAGACATTCTGCAGGTTGGCCCCATTCACTGCCACCTGCAACCACAGCCGGGGTCGTGGTCATCAGGCACCTGTGGGGTGCTCTGGGCAGGGAAGGAGTGAGCGTGGGAAGGGGCCAGGGTGGGGTGTTCTGGGGTGGGTGTCAGTGGGGCGGGCTGGACGCCTCCATTGGCTCCAGTGCCTGAGTCTTATTCTAATCGAAGCCCAGGGCGATGGGCCTATCACAGACCCCAGGACCCCAGGACCCATATTATCTTGGCAGGACCAAGGCTCAGTTCCAGGGAGATCATTCAGACCAGGGATTGTGTTGGAAAAAATACTGTACTGAAATACTAGGTGAAAATAGGACTTTTGAGAGGCTGGAGCAATAGCACAACAGGGCAGGTGTTTGCCTTACACGCGGCCGACCCGGGTTTGATTCCCAGCATCCCATATGGTCCCTCGAGCACTGCCAGGAATAATTCCTGAGTGCATGAGCCAGGAGTAACCCCTGAGCATCACCGGGTGTGACCCAAAAAGCAAAAAAAAAATCGGTTATATTGTATAATTATAGTGTATATTTAAAATAAATTGCTGGACTGGAGCAATAGCACAGTGGTAAGGCGTTTGCCTTGCGCGCAGCTGGCCTGACCGAGCTGGGTTCGATTCTTCTGCCCCTCTTGGAGAGCCCAGCAAGCTACCGAGAGTAGCACGGCAAAGCCTGGCAAGCTCCCCGTGACGTATTCAACATGCCAAAACACAGTAACAACAAGTCTCACGATGGAGACGTTACTGGGTCCGCTCGAGCAAATCAATGAACAATGAGAGGACTGTGACTGTGGGCCGTGAATTATAGTGTATATTTAACATAAATTGCTCAAACAATGTCCTGGCTTTTCTGTTTGCTTTGTTTTGTTTTGTTTTTGGGGGGGGTTGGGGTTTGGGGCAGGGTCACACCCTGGCTCTGCTCAGGGACCACTGCTGGCACTGTCCAGGGGATGGTTCACAGTGTCGGGTGTGGATCCGTGCTCAGGGCAAGTGCTCTGCCCACTGTGCTACCTAAGCCAAGTTCCACTGAGTATCTCTGCACCTGAGTCAGCCAAGCATGGCCTAGGGACCACGTTTAGCCATTCCGTGTCCTCTCCGGCCTCAGGACCATGCCCAGCAGGGCCTGGCCGCTGACCCCGGCAGGTTCCAGAGACCTGAGCGCCCCTCAGGAAGGGCCCTGGGGCTCGTGTCCAGGCCACTCTGCTCTGAGCGCACAGGGGCTTCGCATCTGTAAATGCTGGAAAACCCTTTTCACCACACGTGACGTTGTAGCAAACCCACATTCTGGGAGCCAGAAAGTGCTGGGCAGTATGCGGTCACGTGGGCAGTGTGCACGGCCAACCCGGGTTCAATTCCCAGCATCCCATATGGTTCCCCGAGCACCGCTAGGAGTGATTCCTGAGTGCAGAGCCAGGAGTAACCCCTGAACATCGCTGGGTGTGACCCAAAAAGCAAAAAAAAAAAAAAAAAGTATGTATAATACACTGACAAGGTATCATGAAACTCGATCCAAATTTCCCAGCAGTGGGGCTGGAGCAATAGTATAGCAGGGGAGGGCATTGGCTGTGAACATGGCCGACCCGGGTTCGATTCCCAGCATCCCATATGGTCCCCTGAGCACCGCCAGGAGTGATTCCTGAGTGCAGAGCCAGGAGTAAGCCCTGTGCCTTGCCAGGTGTGACCCAAAAAGAAAGACAAACAAACAAACAAAAAAAGCAAATTTCCCAGCAGCGTGTGGAAGGTCAGGATTTCCAAGCAGAACCGAACCTCCTCTCTGCCCGCTTGCTCTTTGGTCTCCAAAGCGTGACATGCTGTGGAACCGTCGGGGGCTCTGTGTGTAAAGGATGGGCATGAAGGCTGGGCTAAGAGTCAGGGGGTCGTTGACAGGCGCCAAAGGGAGAGGAGGACTCCAGGGGCTGTGGGGGAAGGAGGGAGGAACAGGAGGGAGCCCCCGCCCGGCACCTGCATCTGGAGCTCCGCGTCACTCTGCAGCATCTTCGTCTTGGCCTGGGCGTCGAAGATGAAGGGGTAGGAACAGAGGGTCACGGCATCCTGGGACAAAGCACAGCACTGGCACCGTTAGGAGTTTCCACAGAGATCACCTCTGGAAAACACATCTCAGGAAACGTCAAAAGGATCACTTACCTGTATTATAGACGGCCTGGCCTTCTGTGTGGAGAGAGGGGAAAAGGGATAAAATGAGTCTCTTGTTCCAATCTCGAAGACCCTAACCCGCTTCTAACCCGCTACAAACGTTCACTAACAATCAAAACGCCTGTCTGACTTATGGCCACGGGACGAACACGCTCTCTGGATCCCGGGTGGGGAACAAGACGGAGTATTTTTTTGGGTGGTGGGTTGGGTGCCACCCCCAGGGGTGCTCAGGGCTCACTCCTGGCAGTGCTCAGGGAACTGAATGTGGAGCAGGCAATAGAACCAGGGTCCAAGTTGACGTGGCCACACTCAGCTCCCAGTTCTACCTCTCCAGACCCAGGACGGATGCTCGGAGGGTGTACACTGAAAGGAAGACAAGTTTTAACATGTCAAGACCCCTGTCATGGGGATTTCATTCACTTCATGATTCACAGTCTCAAGAGAATTCTTTCATGGAACATCCAGAACATTCTGGGGACACTCCACACAGGAGCCTCACCGTCTTGATCTCAGAAGCTGTTTCTGGTACGAAACGTGGATAATACTAACTGCCTCTTCCTTGGCGGCCTGTCACATCTCTAAGGCACAGATCACTTGTGGGAGAAAAGTGAGTATTTAGAAAGTGCTCTCGGAAGCTTTCTCAGAAGACGAGCATGTGGCCCAAAGAAGCGACCCCATCGATATGGGTATGAAACCTGACAAGCCTCTGAGGGGAGTATAGGACTGTCCTCCCGTTGTTCATCAATTTGCTCAAGCGGGCACCAGTAACGTTTCCCTTGTGAGATTTGTTGTTACTGTTTTTGGCCTATCAAACACGCCATGGGGAGCTTGCCAGGCCCTGCCGTACGGGTGGGATACTCTCGGTAGCTTGCCGGGCTCTCCGAGAGGGACGGAGGAATCGAACCTGGGTTGGCCGTGTGCAAGGCAAATGCCCTACCTGCTGTGCTATCACTCCAGCCTCAAGGGGAATATCAGTAAATAAAAATACAAACACACATAACAGGGGGGAAAAAAATCTCTTCTGAAGGGTCTTGTAGGCTATAGAAAAAAATCGATTAACTTAACCAAAATAAAAATATCAGCAATATAGATCACTGTAATCTGTGGGAAGGGGTGCACGTCTGGCATTGCTCAAGGCTTACTCCCGGCTCTGTGCTCAGGGACCGTGCCTGGGGGGCTCAGGGGACCCCAGGGCCTGCCCAGATGGCCCGTGCAGGCAAGTACCCTCAATGCTGGAGCTCCCTTCCAATGCTTCAACAACCTCCTTACACAGATTTACCCCGGAGACCTTCTTCTTTCTTCATCTTTTTCTATTTTAGGTTTTAAAAAACTATCCTAATAAAAAAAAATGAATGAAAACCACATTCTGAACGACCACCTTCCGAGGGTGTGCTTGCCAGAGATTTGTGACTTCTTGAGCTGACTGCATTGCAGCCACAGACGCGGGGCTGTGGAGAGCGGGTTCCTCTGTGTTCCCCTGCAAGCCACGCGTCAGCACTCGTCAGCGCTCAGGAAGAGGCGGGCTGGGCTGGGCTCTCGGGAGAACAAAGGCTTCGAGGCAGCAGCAAGAAGGTGCATTAGGAGGAGCTGGCCTGGGAGCCGGTGGGGGTCGAGGCAGAGACGCGGCAGCAGAGGCCCCCACAACCACCCAGGGGTCGGCTTAGCGACAGGCGCTGCTTCCGCTGAGGTCAGTGGCGTGGATCGCCGCGGCTTCAGAGCGCTGTCTACCGACCGTGCAAGCGTGGTTCTGCCTTCTAATTGTTTGAGCGGTGCCTCCTTTGGTGCCGGTGCATATTTTAACGAGATCATCTCAGAACAGCTTTTATGAAGAGCGGCTCCGGCTCCTTCGGACAGGCAGGGACAGACCCCCCTGCAACACGTCCAAACTGCCGCAACATTTCAGATCTGGTCTTTGCCCCGTGTGTTGTTGGTTTTTTTTATTTTATTTTGCCAATGAATGATTTTTGCATCTGAATCATCCTCGCTGGGCTTGTTTTGCGAATCCTGAATCCTCTAGAAAGCCACTGGCACTGACACTTTGGCAGAATGTGAAATAAACAATAGCAGGTGACAAATAACTTCCCAAGGCCGACCCAGGTTTGATTCCCCCACATCCCACACAGTCCCCTGAGCACTGCTGGGAGCAATTCCTGGGTGCAGAGCCAGGAGTAAGCTCTGGGCATCACTGGGTGTGCTCCCCCACCAAAAGGTAACCCAAGATCCTAAGGGCCAGAGAGAGAGAGCACAGTGGGCAGGGCATTGGCCTTGTACGCACCAGACCTGGACTCCTTCCCCGCCAGCCCAGATGGTGCCCTGAGCCCGCCAGGAGTGAGACCTGAACACAGAGCTGAAGTAAGCCCTGAGCACTGCCAGGTGTGACTCAAAAACAAAAGAAAAAAAATCAAGCTACTGTATCCAAAATCCAAGAAATTGAAATTTCACAATTCATAGTTCTGTACCTTAAACATTACAGAAAGTTTCACAGAACTCACAGGCACCTGCCTCATGAGCTGGGGGAGAAGGTGGCTGGGATGGAGAAGGGATCACTAAGTCTATGACGGTTGGGGGGATTGTTCGTGATGGGAGATGTATGCTGAGAGTAGATAAAGGACCAAACGTGAGGGCCTCTCAGTATCTGTATCGCAAACCACAGTGCCCAAAAGTAGAGAGAGAGTATGGGGGAAATTGTCTGCCATGGAGGAAGCGGGAGGGGTGGGATGGGAGGATATACTGGGGACATTGGTGATGGGGAATGTGCACCGGTGGAGGGATGGGTGTTCGATCATTGTATGACTGAAATTCAAACATGAAAGCTTGTAACTGTATCACATGGTGATTCAATACTAAAAAATAAAAAATTAAAATTAAAAAAAAGAACTCACAGGCACCATAATTTCATCCATCTTCAATAATACTTACAATAATTACTGAGAAGGAACTGGTAATGAGAGCCTGGATTTGCCTCTCAGACCTTACAGGAAGAACTTAAAAAAACTAGGATTTGCTGACTTTAGTTCTTCTATTCAGAGATAAGAGCTATGATAATCTAGAGATTAGTGCCTACAACTTTGTTTCTCTTGTCAAAAATTTTTGGCTTCATTAGAATGATATTTTATTCCACACAAAGCAGAAGCCAGAGGAGAGGGTGTTTACAGTGTTGATGAGGCTTCAGAAAACACGAAAAAACTCTTCTCTGGTACCCACTGCCTTGCCTGCAAGTGAAGCAACAAGCTAATGACTGAAAAGGAAGATTTCAGTTTAGTATACATGACCACGGCAGAGTCTCCTGCCCCCTCAACTGGCTGTCCTCGCCAGGCCCCTTGGAGGGGGGCGGGTTGAGTTTCCCTCCCTGCCCCGAGCAGAGCTCCGGCAGCTGAAGACCTCCAGAAACAGCCACCACCATGCTGAGACCACTCTCCGCACTCATGAAGGTACCGGCAGAGGGACAAAGGCATGAGATCTCCAAGCCTGCTCGGATCGGGGCTGAGCATCCTCCACTCAGATCCTCCAAATTCCAGTAGGCAGGGGTCACACCCACCAACTGGCCCCCTGGCGCCGCCGTGTAATCCCATCAACGGCCAAGACTCAGAGACTATAAAACCCAGCTCCCGGAAGCGACATCTTATTAACTCATTCTTACTTTGGACAACCTGGCAGGCTACCCAATATAACCTGCCCACATGGCAAAGTGTGACAAACTCCCCGTGGCGTACCCAATATGCCAAATACCAGCAACAATGATGGGTCTCATTCTCCTAACCCTGAAAGAGCCTTGAATATGCCACCTTTTAAAATCTCAGGGCTAGGGCGAAGGAGACGTTACTGGGGCCTGCTTGAGGCAATTGACGAACACCAGGATGATCATGATCGTGATATTTGACCATTCAAAGGATATCCACAGATTTATAAAAGAAATGCTTCACGTTTTATACTAAATCAGCAGGTTAAAGAGAGCTCCTTGCTTGCTTGCATGTTGAATTTCCCATAAAAACCCATTTCCCTGAACCACTTTTACTGAAAATGTTTTTGTTTTTGTTTTTGTTTTGGGGGGGGGGGTGTTTGCATAAAAGTCTCTTTAAAAACATGATATTGGTGCCAGGGAGACAGATGGTACCGAGGTCAGGGCCAAGCCTGGTGTGTGCGGGGGGAATGGGGGGGACCCGCATTTGAAATCCACCCCATGACCCTCCCCCCAGCATTTGCAGGCAGGGGTGGTGGTCTTGGGTGGGCCCAGCTGCACTTTCAACTTCTCCCCCTCAAGCCCAGCACTGGCCCAGCTTCCCGGTTAGCACAGTTCCACAAGAAGGGACCCCCTAGCTTCTGGAGTGTCCCCTCAAAAAAAAATCCCCCCCAAAATACATCAGCAAAAGGCCACACTGCAGCGTCTGGGATTATTTGACAAAGGGAACACTGCTTAGCCAACGAAACTCCCTTAAATGCTTCTGAAGACCACTGCTCACCCTCGAGGGAAACAGATGCCCCGTGCTGACGTCAGCTCTGCCGCCACCAGGTCTCTCAGCTGGTCGGCGGGCGCGGCTCTGCCAGCCAGTGGCCGGGTCAGCGTTTCCTGATAGGACTGGGCTGACACTGCACAGACGCAGACCCCCAGGGCAGCCCGTCCACCCCACAGTTGGTATAGGCAGAGAAGACGCGGAGGCGGGCAGAGTCCACAGGCCCTGCCCGCCGCACGCCACATCTGGAGAGGGCCAGACAGGGGCACACACTGGGCCCCACACAGCCCTGCCCGGGAGGTCTGCACAGGGCTGGGAGTGACGCAAGGAAGGAAGTGGCCTGCTGTGGGGGACGCTGACCAGTAAGTGGCCTGTCCCTCCTGCGGGGAAGGAGTTCCTTGTCACCAGACCCTCCAGGTTTCTCATAACCTGTTTTTACTTCTTCAAATGGTAGCAAAAGGCAGCAAAGTCTAGCGTCTGGACTCCTCCCTTAAGCGGACGGCCAGTAAGGTGGGCTATATCCGTGCTCCTGCACAGTGGACCTCCAGAGAGGGTTCATCTGAACTCTGCACCATAAGCCAGACCCCTCCCCGCCACCCAGGGTCCGGCAAGCGCCAGGCTGGCTCTGTGAGCTGCACCACTGCAGATATGTTGATTTTTTTTTCTCATGTTGGTAAAGAAGATTTCTTCCATTTATTCTGGTGACTCCCCCTCTATTATTCCTCATGACCCCGGGGATTATCAAAGCAGGCGTGCCCCTTGTCCTCTGCTCTGCTCCAGAAAAGGCAAAAGCGTGAAGGTAGGATTCACGGGGGTTCTTACCATGCCAGCCTGATGCAGGAACCACATGAGGTAGTCTTCTTGAATGTCCACGAGACTGGAGATCTCAGGAATGTAAAATGTGTCATATTCCACGTGCTTAACTTTGAGATTGACCTGAGGAAGAAGAAACAGAGACAGTCAGGCCCAGCCGCTGGGAAACGGCTCCCAGGAGAGAATCTCCGTGGGACCGGGCACGTTCCCTGCCCCCACTTAGCCCAGATCACCTTGTATAACTTCTCCAAGAGCTTCAGAGCAGCTGTGATGTAATTGTTAAACAGGACAGGAATTAGGAACGTCTTTCTTCCCCGCAGCAGGTAAACGACTGCTCCTCTATAGAGGTTCACCAGCTTCATGAAATACTCTGGGCACGCCTGCGACCACCAGTTATCTTCGGAAAGAGAGAGAAGACACATCGTTCAACACACAATCCTGACGGAGTATCGAGGTCTTCCGCCTACTGGCTAAGACCTGCTTCAGCTACGAGATGGACAGGACTCTAGACACAGGTGCTCAAACTGACTCTGAACGGAACCCACGAGAGCCCTTCTGAGTGGCCGCAGCCCTGGAAGAGCCCCCGGAGTAGGGAATGGGGGGCTTGGGGGGGGACCTGATTTCCTTTACTCATCGTCAGCCTTAGAGATGCATCCTGGAGGTGGATCTGAACATGGGATTCCCAGGACAGAGGCGAGAGCTACGACACGCGTGTCTCGGGATATTCACACGCCAGAACCTTGTACTGTCCCCCTCAGCCCGCACCAAAAGACGGTGTGGCCCAAAGGACCGCCAGGCTGGCCGGCATGCATCCCCCCTCCCGTCAGAGGTACCAACTCCTGAACTACCGTTTCTGTGTTACACCAAACAGTGCTTTCCCTGACCCAGACACGAAGACATGAACACTGGCTTCTAGTCTATCAAAACTAAATTCAGTCATACTGAGACACTGAAATATGTTTGCGACTTTTTAAAATGTCCCAGGAAAAACGAAAAGGTGGTGGGTAGGTGGAGCGGTTAAAACAAAATGGGCAGGAAATTGGGAGACTAACACCCAAGAATAGCCGAGATCAGTACCAGGAGGTTCACTCCATGGCTTGGAGGCAGCCGCACATGCTGAGGGAGAAGGCAGCTCAGATAGAGAAGGGAGCACCAAATAAAGGGTGTTGGGAGGATCCTCCCAGGATGAGAGAAGCATGCTGAAAGTAGACTATAGACCGAACATGATTGCCACTCAAAGCCTCTTTTGCAAACCACAGCACCCAAAAGGGGAGAGAGAGAGATCAAAAGGGAATGCCCTGCCACAGGGATGGGGAGGGATGGGGGCGGGGGGATGGGAGGGATGCTGGGAGCATTGGAGGTGGGGAACGGGCACCGGTCGAGGGATGGGTACTCAATCATTGTATAACTGAAACCCAAGCACAAAGAAAAAAAAGGGGGGGGCAAAATGTCAAGAATTCTGACTCTGTGTGTGACTGGTGCACTCTTAGAGGTCTCTGTACCCTACCTTGGGAAATCTTCTAAATGTGAATTTTTATAATCAGACATTAAAAACAAAGTACGGAGCTGAACGGCTTTGATCTCTTTGTGCTAGCCAACCTAAGATAAAATAAGCATGAAACCCCCAAGCCTACAAGCAGGGACCCTTTCAAAGTCTCTAGCTCACAGCCTACTAGAAAATACGCCCCAAATGGCTTTTGATCTTAAGATGCTCAGGACCAAACACGATGTGTTCATGATTCCCTCTGACCGTCCTCTGGGGAAGTCCAGTGGGGAGAGTCATACTGTCCCTTCGTGTCTCCTGCCTGACTCTGGAGAGACCCACACCCGAGGAACACCCTAATCCAGGTGGAACGCGGAAGCCACTGAGTTGCAATGAACACCTAAAAAAAAAATTTACCGGGACAAAAATAAAAGGAAAAAGCCAGGTGACAGACTTTCTGCACTTGATTAATAAAAACATCCCAGGCGCTACTCCCACGAGAGACACTCTCCGATTATTCACTGAGGAACAGAAGGTTCTTAGCTCAGCAAAGTGTCCGTGGCCTGCAAAAATCAGGGTGGACTCAACTGTCCTACAAAAGAAAAACAAAAAAAAACATTTGGTAAGTCTCCCGGAGGCCGCTTCCTCCCTCTCCGCTCCTGGGGACCTGCGTCACCACACCTGCTCGATTCATCCCACACCCCCCCTGAGGTCGGTCCAGGCTTGACCAACTGCTCTGACATCTGCAGGAACCATTAACTACCGGCCGGTGAAAGGGGAGAAAAAATCCCATTGGGAGTTGAATTATAACCTTGTGAATATTGAAAAATTAAGATGAGTCTTGCATGAATCAGAGCAAATCCACCGAAACAACGGTTCAAATTTCTCACACTGAAAATCCGGCTAGTGAGAGGCTAACAGCCAAAGAAAGACTGAAATGGTACAGATACGAAATGATAACAAACAGAGTGAATCTGAACCTCCGGGAGGCAGACGCCACCACCCCGGTGAAATCCAAAGGCACGAAGGTCATGGGCACGGAGCTTAGGGGACTCACCCAAGACTTTGCTGGGGTTCGCGTCTAGCCGCAGGATGGCCATGGCCAGGGGGATGGTCAGTGTGATGTAGTACTTGGAGTCCTGGAGCAAGGGAAACTCGGGGAGTATCAAGTAGATTCTCATGGCCTCGACGTCCGGCGGGGAACTGGACAACTGAGGAATCAGGCAGCTCTCAAAGCTGTTGAGGATCTGTAGGAGAGCAAGAGGCAGCGGGAGTTCGAGCAGACCTGAGCTCCCTCACTCATCTCCGAATTTTTTTTTAATTTTTTAATTTTTATTAGTGGAACACCATGAGGTACAGTTGTAGACTTACCAATTTTTGTGCTTGGGTTTCGATTATACAATGATCAAATACCCATCCCTCTACCAGTGCCCATTTCCCACCACCACGAATCCCAGTATCCCTCCCACCCCTCATCCCCCATCCCACCCTGCCTCTGTGGCAGGGCATTCCCTTTTGTTCTCTCTCTCCTTTTGGGTGTTTTGGTCTGCAAAAGAGGCATTGAGTGGCAATCATGTTTGGTCTAAAGTCTACTCTCAGCATGCATCTCCCACCCTGGGAGGATCCTCCCAACACCCTTTATTTGGTGCTCTCTTCTCTATCTGAGCTGCTTTTTCCCCTAGAATGCCCGGCTGGCCTCTAAGCCGTGAGTAATCCTCCTGGTACTGATCGTGGCTATTCTTGGGTATTAATCTCCTATTTTGTTACTTTATGTCCACCAGATGAATGCAATCTTTTTATGTCTATCCCTCTCTTTCTGACTCATTTCGCTTAGCATGATACTTTCCATGTTGTACCATTTGTATGTAAAATTCATGACTTCATCTTTTCTAACAGCTACATAGTACTCCATTGTGTAGATGTACCAAAGTTTCTTTCACCAGTCATCTGTTCTCGGGCACTCAGGTTTTTTCCAGATTCTGGCTACGGTAAAGTCATCTCCGAAGTCCTACGCCACCAGGTAAAGCGTCTCTCTCCTTCGTTCAATCCGCAGCCAGGCCCTGGCTGGGCAGAGGCCACAGATCCTGCCTGGCCAGGCTGACACCTGCGGGGTCTTTCCTAAGAAGGGTGTAAGCCCAACGGGAGGGAGGAGGCCATAGGTAGGTTCACAGCGCATCTCACAGACTTAGGATTTATATAAGGCTTTTGCTTTTTTTTTAATTCTACTTCTTCTCTCTTACGTGGGCTGGTCACGTAATGAGATTTAAAGACGACCGTTGGACTAGAGCTGTTACTGATTGGATTCCACGGGATGTCAAGAGACCGCGTGGCCGCCCACCTACCAGATGGTCAGACTTCTTTGTCAAGATCATGAACGATTGGTTTGAGGCCCTCCATGTTCCCGGAGCGAAGAGATGCCATTGGGCTACACTAGCACGCGACAGGGACAAATGGAGACGTTACTGGCGCCCGCTCGAGCAAATCGATGACTAACGGGAAGTTAAGTGATTAAGTGACTTCTTCTCTCATCATGGAATTTTTGCAAAAAAGAAGGCAGAAATGCATTTTTCAAGCAACGTGCACCTGGTAAAGAACGTACCTGTTCTAGAATCATGGAGTGCTGGGAGCTCATTAACTTCTCAAACAATATTCTCGTTGAGTTCAGGTCAATCCCGGGGGTTCTGGGGCTGGTTTTAAAATGCTCATCAATTCTAAACAAAGAAAACCCAAAAGAGTGTGGAATAATAAAAGACAAACGAAGCTCCCTCCTCTTCCCTACTCTTCCTTTCCCATTTTTCTTAAAAAAAAAAAAAATCAAGCAAACACTTGAAGAGAAATTCTAAACAAGTAACCAATGTAGTTTGTCCACACTGACACAATGACTGGGTTCACATTTGACCTGGCTGGCAAAAGCACAAAAATGCTCCAGTCTGAGGGAGTCCCCCCCAGACCAAAACTCCCTGGAACCCCTTTCTCATTGCGGCCCGAAATCTGAAAGCCTTCTATCCCCCAACCTGTGAGACGCGTCGTTCCAACAGGAGGGTCTTCAAGGTCATAAGTTGAGTTATCTTCCCTGACGGGTACTTATGGGCTATTTTTGGTTTGGGTGTTTGGGGAGGGTTGACACCAGCCTGGGTGGCCATTCGGTGCCAGGGGTTAGACAGGTGAGGCATGTTCTCCACCATGTGAGCTATGACCCTTTTCCCGTTTTCTGGAACACTAGGCTAGATGCTTCTACTGTGCCTCACACAAGACGTGCCCCATGCAGAAAACCCGCTCAACAGACCAACAAGAACCCTCGTGTTCACACCTTTCTGAACAGAATGTTCAAAATGAAATCAGAACCACACCAAGGCAACGTGTGTCCCTTCGCAGAGAAATGCTGATGTCTCTCCCATTTGACACAGGGATGCAAATATAATTGCCCAAGGTCTATCTTTACTACTAATGGTTTTATTGTTTTCCTCTCTGATGATATTCTTTTTAAGTCCCTAGCCGCTGCTTATTTTTCTAACCATCTTAACCTTTTAGAGACTTAGCCAATGTCTTATATTCTACTCTGCACATCACAGCAATCCACGAATAACAAAACTCTCTGCAAAATAGGTTTCTATTCAGAAGTGATGGACACATTTCACTACCTTAACACCCTGACAGCTAAGCTTATAATCTACAGTGTCATGAAACATCAAATTTTCTAACTTTTTAAGGAATCATAATTAATACTGGAAACTGGTCAACTTCAGGATGGTTTACTGTTTTTTTTTTATTAATTTGTTATTGTTTTCCAAAATAAATTTGTCCAAACGCAGAACTAATTCCGGTCTCTCTCAAGTAAGCATCTGCTTAGAGTGATGATTTCTGCCAGGCTGCTGAGACAGAAAACAAAGTTCTTTATCTCCGTATATTTACTGCCTTGTAAACCCAGTGTTTGCTTTAACTAGCTTCCGATGACGCACTCTGCGTGCGCACGAGAGGACCGATGAGCTGGCAGCACTCAGCTCTTGAGGCGTTTATTCCCTCTATGGAACAAGCAACCCCCAGGTCTAGCAGGGGCCGTTCCCCACCTCCCCAAATATCGAACCAGGTTCACAGTCCAGGCACCACTGCTCCGTGCCCATGCTACTCACTGGCCACTAGATGTCGACCGTGCGGCCTCCCCTACAGTGTCCACTGAAGCTGTCATTGGGCATTGCCAAATGTCCCCTGGGTGGCAGCCTCCCAGGAGGGAAACCACAGATCAACGTCAGTCAACACAGGACCATTTTTTTCCCAGAAGAAAAGCCAAATGATGGATATGAAACAAATGGGAGACTCTTGTTCTAATGGCCCCAGTGATGCAAGTTAAGGACTGAGATTACTGACTTTAACTGCAAAACATTCCCCTCAGCACCTTCCGGCAGCTCCCGGCCCCCAGACCTGGGGGGAGCACTTGACAAGAGGGGCTCTGTCCACGGAACTGCAGGGGAAATCTCAGACCTCCGCCATCCTTTCCTGAAGCGACGAGAGACAGCCAGGCCTGGGATCACAAAAGATTCAAAGCTGGCACCGTGGGCCAGAGAGACAGGGAAGCTGGGAGGGCACTTGCCTGGCATGCGGCCAGCCCAGGTTTGATCCCGGCATCTCCTATGGTCCCCTGAGCACCTCCACGCGTGATCCCTGAGCACAGAGCTCGAGGGAGGAACCCTTGAGCATAGCTGGGTGCCCAAAACACACGCAAAAATAACAAAACAAAATAACCGTGAGCAGACCGTCCCGGGCTGGGGGCCCCTAACAGAGGCGTCCGCAGGAGGATCGGGCCAAGCAAAGAGATTCAATTGACTACCTGGGACTGTAGCCGCCATGTAATTTCCTAGTAGGTCAGGCTGGATCTCCAAGTCCTGAAGCCTCCTTGGAAACAACCAACCCTTCAGCTCATTCATTTTTAGGAAGAATCAATGAAAAACGAAACTGAACAAACCAAGGGGAGTATTCAAAAACATTAAGAATTTAAGAACAGGGGGCCGGTGCGATAGTCCAGCCGGGAGGGCATTTGCTTTACACGCAGCCAACCAGAGTTCAATTCCCAGCATCCCATATGGTCCCCCAGGCACCGTCAGGAGTAATTCCTGAGTGCATGAGCCAAGAGTAACCCCGGTGCATCATCAGGTCTGACCCAAAAAGCAACAAAACAAAACAAAACAAAAAGAATTTAAGAACAGGGGCCGAAGCGATAGCATAGCAGATGAGAGCATTTGCCTTGTACGCGGGCAATCCAAGTTCAAGCCCCAGCATCCCATATGGTCCCCTGAGCACCTCCAGGAGTGATTCCTGAGTGCAGAGCCTCTGAGCATCACCGGGTGTGACCCAAAAGCCAAAAAAAAAAAAGAAAAAGAAAAAGAAAAAGAAGGAATTTAAGAATAGACCACAACACATGGTAGGTCTAACATTCTGAACACTGTGAAAACGTCTTGCTTCTGACTGTATCGACTCTATGAAACAAGTCTCTCTTGGGGTATCGGGGTATCGCTTTTCTGCCCACAGGCCTGACTCAGCATTACCCTGCACGAAGCCCTCTCACATATCCTCTCAGGCATTCCGATCTGTGCACGACCATCGGCTTAGCCGCCGAACTGAGGCCAGCCAGCACTAACAGAGTTCTCGCACAGTCTTTGCTTTCTCTGCATCACCCATGGTTTAAGATACTTACTTTTTTTCCAGGAAACTTCCATTCCAGCAGGCTGCAGAGGATAATATCTGAACTACACCACTGTGTAGAAAAAGAAAGAGAAGTCTTTAATAATTACCAGTAGCTAATTTGGCATCAGCAATTGAGTAATGACCTATTGCAGGCTCCAGTAATAAGCAATTTTTTCTGGGCTGGAGAGAGAGCACAGCAGGTAGGGCATTTGCCATGCACGCGGCCGACCTGAGTTCTATCTCCCGCACCCCATATGGTCCCCCCAAGCACCAAGAGAAGTAATGTCTGAGTGCAGAGCCAGGAGTAACCCCTGATCACAGGTGGGTGTGTCCCCAAAACAAAGAAACAAAACATTTTGAAGAAACTTTTTCTTGGCCAGGTGAAGTCTTGAAAAACGTTATTTGCCTTTTAAAAAAGGGTTCTAAAATCTCACATCTCAATATAGAGAAGAATATCTCATGTTAAAATTAAGAGAGAGGGGCCGGAGTGCGAGCACAGCAGGGAGGGTGTTTGCCTTGCACTCGGCCGACCCCGGCTCAATCCGTGGTTTCCCAGATGGTCCCCCAAGCACCGCCAGGAGTAATTCCTGAGTGCAGAACCAGGGGTGAGCCCTGAGCATCGCTGGGTGTGACCCAAAAAGAAAAAAAAAATAAGAGAGAAGGCCAGGGATGTAGCTCAGTGGTAAAATGCATGGCTTGGATGTATAAAGCTCTGAATTCAATCATCAGCATCAAAATAGAAACTGAAAATTATCTTAGACCTAGAGAGACGCTCAATAAATGGAAAGCATGCCTTGCTCTCAGGAGACTCACATCTGAGGACCCCTGACTAGAGTCAGGAGTGACCCACAAGCACAGAGCTGGGAAAAGCCCCCACGCACCGCCAGGGGTAGACCCCACCCCACAAATAAGGATGATAAAATGAACTAAAAATAGAAGGCGTGGGCTGGAGTGATAGCACAGCAGGTAGGGCGTTTGCCTCGCACACGGCCAACCTGGGTTTGATTCCCAGCATCCCATAGGGTCCCCCAAGCACAGCCAGGAGTAATTTCTGAGTGCATGAACCAGGAGTAACCCCTGTGCATCGCTGGGTGTGACCCAAAAAAACAAAAAAAATTAAAAATAGAAATAAAAATAGAAGGCGGAGAGAGGATCCAGAGGGTCGGGTCCCGCCTTGCACAAGGCCGACTCAGACTCCACCCTGGCATCCGACGTGGTCCCCAACCACAGCCAGATGTGCCCCCACATAACAACAGACCATCAAAGTTACTGAAATAAAAACTCTCGTTCTGATTATGATCATGAACATTCGCTCTCACAAACCTTCTAAGAAACTTCCTGCCTGTCACACTCAAGCCATTTAAAAGAGAGAAACTGAGGGGCTGGGAGGGAAAGTGGGGGACGCCAGTGGTGGGAAATACGCATTGGTGAAGGACGTGTTGGAACGTTGCATGACTGAAGCCCGGGCACGAAGAACTCTGTAACTGGGCATCTTATGGTGACTCAATAAGAAATTATTTTTTAAAAGAAACTAGGCTGTTATTTTCCAAAGACAGTAATAATCTTTGTACATTAATAACTTAGTCGCTATTTCTATTTTGCTTCTCTGATGAGAACGAGGGTGGAACGAGGGTTTATTCCAATTCCCTCCATGGTAAAGATCAGCTAGATTCCCACTGCGAGACCCTTTTCCCTTTTTCAAGTATAAGGAAATGGGAAAGAATAATTAAAAAAAACAAAAGACACGGTTGAAAAGGAGACCAAAAGCACTTGCTTCACTCTAGGGTCTGGGTCGGGGTACTGCTGAGACCACTGTCCCGGCCCTTTGTGGTGTGGACGGCCTTCACTCCACCCCTCCCCTCAGCCTAGCTCAGACACTGCTGGCCGCCCACCCCAGGGCACCTCAGTGAGTCCCCTCTGAGGGCGCTGGGCCTCTACCCCACGGCAAGTTTCCAGGGAAGTCACCACTGAGCAACACAGCCTGATTCACCTGTGCCCAAGAATAGCACGCTGCAAAAAAAAAACAAAAAACAAAAAACAAAACAAACAAAAACCAGAAATGCGAGAGAAAGTCAAGTAAAATGTACAGATACACAGTGGGGCACTCCACCAGGAGTCAGACGGAGGCACTGGAGAGGGAGTTCAGGCCTGGCACGCAAGGGCCCGGCTTCCGTATTTTGTTCCTCTCCTGAACACTAAATTACCATATCCGTCATTATTTTGAGTGTGAGGATGCTAGAGGTCATTCCTATTAGGTAGAGGAACAGCTTGGGCCGATGTGGGATGCTCGGAGCATAGACACGAGAAGACTCAGGGTTCAACCATTAACCCCGTTGAACCCCTCAGGCATTTATCATCCAGGCCTCGGCGGACTCCTGTCGTAAACCAGGCAAGCTGCAGAGCCCACGCTCAGAAACGGGGACCACCACCTGCGATCGCTCGGGGCTAACCTGCGTCTAATCCATCTACATTCACAAGACGGCAAAGCACTACGCGAGGGAGCAACGGAGTTACTGGAAGGGACACAAGCGTCCTCCAATGGGCAGGAAGGGACACAAGCATCCGGGAGCGGGCAGGCACGCGCGTACTTGATGGTGTTGGAGCTGCCGTGCTCAGCCAGCTTCTGCCTCCAGACGGCGATGGTCTCGTCGTTGATGAGACTGGTGTAGTGAGCCTGGTTCAGGGTCCTGAAGTCCACGGCCGGACAGGCATTCTGGAGGACACGGGCAGAAGAGGCGGGCAACACGCCATGGGGCAGGGCAGCGTGTCCTTCCCGCCGGCCCCTCCGGCACCCCAACAGCCCACCCCAGAAGCTCAGGGCAGCCCCAGGGAGCACCCCACACCGGTCCCACCTCCGGAGCTGTGACTGAAGCCCATCCCAGCCTCAGGGAGTCCCAGAGGGCCAGCAGGGGATGATGGGAGAGGGGAAGGGAACCGCCTTGCACACGGTCTGCCCGGGTTCGAGCCCCAGCTCTCTCCTGCTATGTCCCCTCGGACACCCGGGTGAGCCCTGAGCACGGGGACAGCAGTGGGCCCTGAGCACTGCTGGGTGCGGCCCCCAAGCAGAACAGAACAAGCTGAGGGGGGCGCCAGTGCCCTCCCCTCCACCCCCGCCCCCCCCACCCCCCCACCCCGGCTGCCTCCCTGGAGCCTCCAGCCCTTTGAGAGACCCTCCCAGGACCCGCAGGGGTGGGCGCTTCCCTGTCCTGCCTGCAGGCACCCTGATCACTCATCAGAGACACTTCCCCAGAGACACTCCACAACATCGGAGCCCAGGTGAGCCCATGCTGCTACACCACACCTCATCACCGCCCCATCTCTGCCTGCCTGCGTCAGGTGGGTGCACAGGAAGGACCAAGACCCAGTCATGAGAACCCCACATGCTCCCGCACTCTGCAGATTCCACTTGGGGAATTTTTTTTTTTTGCTTTTTGGGTCACACTGAGCGATGCTCAGGGAGCGATGCTCCTGGCTCTGCACTCAGGAATCACTCCTAGTGGTACTCAGAGGAACATAGGGGTTGCCGGGAATCGAACCCGGGTGGGCTGTGTGCAAGGCAAAGGCCCTCCCAGCTGTGCTATCGCTCCGGCCCCAGACTTGATGAAATTTTACAGAGAATATATACTCAATAGAATCCTTTTTATTTTCCAAAATTGCCTTTTCTACTATTTCTCTCAAATCCTGCACCTGATCTAGAAATTAAAAAAAAAAAAATGCCAAAGGTGCTTTACACCACTTAGACTGGTCTCAAGGAAAGAGGCGAAGGTGACGTGGAAGTAGCCAGTCCTGGGTGCAGATCCTCCTCTGAAATTTTCATGTGGAAACAAAAATACGACTTTGTGCTCTGGGTTTCTTCCCCAGAGTCAGGAATGCAGGCTGCACTGGGAGGAGCGTGACTCAGTGGCAGAGCACTTGTCTCACACACACACACACACACACACACACACACACACACACACACACGTCTGTGGACAGTGTTGCAGCGTGGTCACTAAAGGATACCCAAAGCCCAGCTCCCCTCTCCGATGCCTCACGGAGGGAGCGAGACGGGAGTTTGTGCGGAATCTCACAGGAGGAGGAAAGCCGAATTACAATCCAGTCCGTTTCTCAGAACCGAACGCTTGGGAACCCGAAAGCGCCCTGCAGACATGGAGCACGGCTACTTCGTCTGCTCAGCATCATGAAGAAACGAGGGATCAGGCTCCCCTCCCGTTCTCCCTGTGCAAGTCTGAAGCGGAGCACAAAACAGAGCCGGGGACCACCGCCGCACGCCCTGGGCCCCCGTCTGACCTCTAGACTGTGGGGATGCGGGCATCCGGCTTCAGCGCACACAGGGCTGGCCCCGGGCTCCCTGGCACAAGGAACCAAGTCCAGGTTTCCTTACGGACAACCGGAACAAATGCACATACAAAGAACTGCCAAGCATCGGTTAGAACACCAAGAAACGGCCGCCTCTGCAAGGGCACAAGACTGAGATCATTTTTTGGTTGGTTGGTTTGGGGGCCCCGTGTGGCTGTGCTCGGGGCTGGCCACTGGCACTCAGGGATGATTCTGGTGAGGTCTGGGGGTCCACACAGGATGCCAGAGATCAAAGTTAGGTTGGCCGTGTGCGAGGCAAGCGCTCTCCCCTTCTGCCTCAGAGAGCTCAGTCCCTGAAGGTTTTCTTTGCTTATCTTATTTACTTATCCTTTACTGGGGGACTGATTATTATTGTTATCATTATTCCAGACGCAGTGCTCAGAAAGTCATAACCAAGTCGGGGCTCGAACCCAGGGCTGCCCCCGCAAAAAGCATGTCCTGGGTGGCACCCCAGCCAGTCCGCGGGTTTTCATAAAGCAACATCGGTCCGTAAAGAGTAACACAGCCTTTGTGTAACTGTTCATTAAAATAAATACTGGAGCACGTCACTCCCGCCCTCCCCCCGAAAATGAGAATCAAAAGAAAACGTTACCTCGTATTTGGAGCAAAGCACGAAAGTCTGGTCTCCCCCAGAGAAGATCTGCTTCACAATATGGTACTTAAAGCGATCTGGCAAAGAGAAACCAACAGCCTGTTTCTCAGAGAAGCTTCTCCTGGGCTGCCTCCACCAGCCCCCCTGGCTGTGCTCCCCTCAGAGGCCTAGACCCTCCCCCAGGGGGTCCAGGGGCCCTCCAGGGCCACCCACCCCCAGACCCTCCCCAAGGGTTCCCAAGGCGCCTTCCAGGGCCGCAGTCCCCCAGACCCCCCAAAGGGTGTCCAAGGCGCCCTCCAGGGCCACCCACCCCCAGACCCTCCCCAAGGGTACCCGGGGCCCCCTCCAGTGCCGCCCACCCCCAGCCCGTCCTCAGCTCAGGGCTGAGTTTCATTCAGATTCTGTTCAGGTCACTGAAATGTGAAATGTAAAGCCAGCCACTGTAGTGAACAAGTGATTCCCAATTTTGCAAGGGGGCCGCTGCCCCGGGGGTGGGGGAGGCCCAGGGCCAAGGGCCCCCTCCTGAGCCCACTTCCTGTCCTCTGCTAGGCCACTCCAACACCACACTGCTTCCACTTGCCACTGACCACCTCCTTCCCGGGCCAGGCCTCCTGCCACCCTGGCCTGGACACAGCTGTCTCCACGCATGGAACTGCACACCAAGAAGAGTCGCCGCTGCTTCCGAGAAGCCCACCCTGCCTGCTGCAGCCCCTCACGTGCTCCGGACCAGCCGGAAGATGCAGCCGTCCCCCCCCACCCCACCCCCCTACCACAAAGCCCCCTAACGCTGGCAAGTTACTGGGAAGGCTCCTAACATCACAGCCTTCAACGGGAAGTGGAAACGGACTGACTTTTAAGATTATTCTGGCAGACATCCAAGCACGATTTCTGATCGTGGGCTTCAGGCTGCTGTTAAGCCTCAAAATTTAATAGTCTCAGATAAACGGATAAAAAACACATTTTCAAAATGGACTGAACTCTTAAATTGTCGGCTGAGCACAGTGCCTCAGAGAAAACTTAATTTCCAGGTGGCCTAGAAGAGGTTCCCAAGCCAGCCTGTGAACTGGGGGGGTTGGGGGAGTACACCGATCACAGAGGATCACGTGCCACAGACACCAGAGTCCTGCGCTACACGCCAGGCTTACAAATAACTCCGGTTCCCTGATATTCAGTAGAGAAGCTATGATCGTTATTATTTTTAAAATTCAGATCAAGCCATTCATTCGGGCATCACTTAATGTTAATTATTCAACTGCACTTCCATTTGAATGACCCTCCAGTCCCCACTGGCCCCTGGTTTTATTAAGTCATTCATACAGAGTGACTGCCTCATTTGTGATTTAAAAAAAAAAGAAAAAAGCACACACTGTGATAGCTAACTTTTTTTTTTTAAAGAAGAGGAAAAAAAAGCCACATAATGTTATGATCAAAATAGTAACAGCAAAGGGAAATAACGTAATAGAAACATTAAGACCATAATACAAGAAAGAAAGAAAGAAAGAAAGAAAGAAAGAAAGAGAGAAAGAGAAAAAGAGAGACAGAGAGACAGGGAGAGAAAGAGAAAGAAAAAAGAGAGAAAGATGGAAAGAAAGACAGGGAGAGAAAGAAAGTGAGAAAGAAAAAAGAGAGAAAGAGAAAGAAGGAAAGAAAGAATAAAAGAAAGAAGGAAGGAAGGAGAAAGAAGGAAGAAAGGAAGAGAAAGAAGGAAGGAGAAAGAAAGAAAGAAAGAAAGAAAGAAAGAAAGAAAGAAAGAAAGAAAGAGACAGGGAGAGAAAGAAAGAGAAAGAAAAAAGAGAAAGAAGGAAAGAAAGAAAGACAGGGAGAGAAAGTGAGAAAGAAAAAAGAAAGAGAAAGAAGGAAAGAAAGAAGAAAACAAAGAAGAAAAGAAAGAAGGAAGGAAGGAAGGAAGGAAGGAAGGAAGGAAGAAAAGGAAGGAAGGAAGGAAGGAAGGAAGGAAGGAAGGAAGAAGGGAAGAGAGGGGGGGGGGACAGAGACTTCAGACTGAGGCAGAGTGATGTGAAGTCCTTCTCCTGGGTCCTGGCGTGTGGAGCCCTGGCGGTCTTGGCTACCCGAGGCAGGAGAGCGTGATGAGCTGACCCGGCTGTGCACAGGGCAGGACTGAGCCCCGACCACCTACTTCCCCAGGTGAGCCCTGCCACGTGTGGCCCCGAGGCAAGAGGCCCCGTCCTCTGTGGGAAACAACCTCTATGTTATCTTCCTACACCTGAATCGACCGAACTCTCATTCCAGACAATATGCACCAGACCAACCAGCCAATCCTCTCTCCAGCAAAGGCCACCGACCTAGGGGAAACACTTTCATTGACAGACCACACATTAAAATGCAGCGCCATAGTTTCTTAGGAAAAAAAAACCCAGAAAAGTATAATATCCAATAGCTTAAAAAAAAAACACCTCTAAAGCATTTATTTCCTTCTGAAATGTTCAACATGATACGAAGTTCCCAATTTCCACGTTTCAGCGTCAATCACTGGTAGTGAGTTTGTCAGCCTTCAAACGACTTTCCGATATGAGAAATAATTGCAACAGCAACTGCGGACTGGTCTTCTGTAAGAAACTTAGCCCGGGGGAAGGGGGGAAGGGGGGGTGTTGGGGAGAGGGGGAGTGCGGAATGTGTTATGCGTGAGGTCCTACCATTCATCGCACTGCAAAACCATGCTGACCTAAACCGAGTTCTTTTAACAAGTCCAACTGACCAAAATGAAAGAGAGAGAGAGAGATGGGTGGAGGGATGGAGGGAGGGAGGAGGGGAGGTAGACAGACAGACAGACAGAGGGATGGATCTGGGTCAGGGGGAGCAGAGAGCTAAGGCACTCCCCCTCACCTGTGTCCCACCAGCCCAGTCCAAACCCAGCACCACCCACGGCACACAGGACTAGCCCCTAAACCTTGGCTGGTCCCCAAGCCCCAAAATAAAGAAACCGGTCAGGAGTGGTTCGAGTCCCGTCCTTAAGGCTTCGCAGCTGGTTTCTCTTCTTCTTTATCTGGACACAGTGACGCTCGCAGCTGCTGTCAGCGTTTCCGGTTCCCATTCCAACCCTCCACCAAACCAGAGTCCCGGGACCAAGGGCCGAGTGAGGCTTGCTTTGGGGGTAGGGTGGCCACTCCTGGCCCTGGGCCCAACGTCTTCACCCCACACTCTCTGGCCACAGCCACCTAAGGGGCTCTGGATTCTGGCAGAGGGATACAAGTTTGTGAGTTCTCAGGAAGAGGAACCAGGTGGATTTTTTGCTTTTGCCGGTCTCCGCTACAGAGCCCTGAGCGGAGTTGGCGGCCCGAGGTCTGCTGGTGGGTGTCAGAAGGAAACCCCCTCACACGCTCACGCTAGAGACAGAGGCAGTTCCGGGGTGGCTGGCCTGGCCCTTGGGCGCGGCACCCACGCGAGTTGGGGGGACCCGTTCTTACCTGCGCTGGCCGAGAGCTGCCCGCTGTGGGCGGCCCAGTGCCCCTTCACCGGGGACGGACACTGCACATTACACGTGCGTCCAGTCCCCAGCTGACCTCTGGCTCCGCAGCCGAAGGCGTAGATAAGTCCGGAAGAAGGCACGAAGGCGAGGGTGTGCTGCCTGCGGGGACAGGGCGGGTGAACTCGGACCCCCGCCCCACTCAGATCCCCAGCCCCGTGGGAGGGTGGGGAGCTGAGACAGGGCTGGGGACCCCGCTAGGTTGGTCTCTGAGGGACGGGGGGGCAGAGGGTGGATCCCGGTCAAACCTCCACCTTCTGGGCAGAATGTCCTGACCCCACACCAGGCTGTCTTCACTGGGGCACCTCAGAGGGGGCGGGTTGAGTTTCCCTCCCTGCCCCACGCAGAGCCCAGCAGCCGAAAACCTCCAGAACCAGCCACCGCCAGGCTCAAGGCCGCTCTCCACACACTTGGACGAGCCTCACCCAAGAGAGGACGAGCCTCACTGGAGAGTGGACCGGCAGGAAAACCCAGGTGTGCGGGACCTGGGACTGAGATCTCCAAGCCTGCTCAGATCGGGACCAGGCCTCCTCCCCCAGCTCCCCAGTCTTCCAGGAGCTTGGCAGCCACACCCACAGACTGTCCCTGGCACCACGTAATCTCATCAGCCGCCAAGACCCAGAGACTACAAGCTTAAATTCTGGGAAGAGAGTGGCACAGAATTTCCTGGAGCGGGTGGCCACAATCTCTTATACTCTAGCCCACTGACGTACCTAAAGCAGCACACGTGTGTTTGGTTTTAATATACTTGCTTGAATTCTCTTCTCTACGGGCTTAAATGGCTCCAGGACGAAATACAACAACCTTCACACTCTTCCCTCTTATTGTGGTGGGAAGGTGCTCGGTGGTGGGGTTGGTGTGTGAATATTATCTGTAATGAACTATTGTGAACTGTCGCACTGTCCTCCCGTTGTTCATCGATTTGCTCGGGCAGGTGCCAGTAACGTCTCCGTTAGTCCCAGCCCTGAGATTTTAGCAGCCTCTCCTTACTCGTCTTTCCCAACGCTGCCGTATTGGAGGTTGTTTCAGGGTCGGGGGAATGAGTCCCGTTATTGTTGCTGTGTTTGGCATATCGAAAACGTCACGGGGAGCTTGCCAGGCTTTGCCTTGCAGGCGAGATACTCTTGCCTAGCTCGCCAGGCTCCCCGAGAGGGGCGAAAGAATCGAACCCGGCTCTGCCAGGCCAGCCACGTGCAAGGCAAACGCCCCACTGCTGTGCTATTGCTCCAGCCCCATTGTGAACTACTTTATGAAAATAAAATATATATGAAACTAAAACAAAACAAAACCAAAAAAACACCCTCCCCGTCCTGGAGGTGCTCCTTCCCCCGGGGCCTCCTCCCTGCCTCCTGCCACCAGAGGAGTGTGGTACCCTGCATCATTCCGAGCGTCACGAACCTTCCCTGCCACACGCTGCTCGGGGCTCATCTCTCTCACCCTGCACCACCGTGTGCGGGCGCCTGGCCACCATCGCCAGGACGAAGCAGCCAGGACCGGCGTCCGGCCAGGCAGAGGCGCTCACCTGCCGCAAGCGATCTGGGTGACCTCGCTGCCCATCAGCTCTAGCACCCTCCTCGGGTTGACCTCGTCGTTCATGGAGTCGTGGCCCAGCTGCCCGCAGGAACCGGCTCCGAAGGTGAACACGCCCCCGCTCTGCAGGGAACAGACAGGGAGACAGCACCAGGGCCTCTGAGTCCACTACTCTGGAACCTTCTAGAGACAGGAGTCTTTGCACCACGGTCTGCTCAGCGACCGACACCAGGCTCCCTGGGCACCTGGCCAAAATCACTTCACGGGGAGTTTGGGCAAATGAGAGAAAATAATTTAAAAGAAACTTATAAATATCTGTGTGTACACACACGTATAAATCTTTATGGAACAAAGACAGCGCTACTCGTAGGGGCGCGCCAGCTGCCGAGCTTTTTAAATTGCTTCAAGGAACAATGATGTCTTAGGCAGCTAAGCCCAAAAGAGAGAAGCCAAGAGGTGAAATGAGATGACTTTACAGGACCGTTCGTAGGTAAGAAAATGAACGTTCCATAAACTCCTGGTCAGTAAAATCGATTTTATTTATTTACTTATTTATGTATTTTTTAAAATTTATTTTTGGCTTTTAGGATCACACCTGGCAATGCTCAGGGGTTACTCCTCACTCTGTACTCAGGAATTACTCCAGGCTCAGGGGACAATATGGGATGTCCAGGATCGAACCTGGGTCGGCCGCAAGCAGAGCAAACGCCCTCCCCACTGTGCTACCGCTCCAGCCCCCCAGTGAGGCCTATTTTAAACAGCCCTGCTTTATCACAGTTTTCCTTATTCCACAAATAGCAACTTTACCAAATGCTAGGGCATCTCATGCAAGTGAAGTGGTAACAGTATTCGTTCTCCATGAAAAATCCATTTCACTCTCTCTGAATGCAAATGTTTTGGAAGCAAAAGAAATGCACTGACAATTTCAGAACATTAACCACGCTGCACCTTTTAACGTGGTTAAACGGCTTGTTTTAAAAATGAATACAGAAAGTTGCTATGCTAAATGGAACGAGTCTTTATACTCTAAACACGTTTAAGCACAGAGCTCCCCTAAAATATCAAAAACCACCCGGAAACGATAACCATGTCAACCCACCACCGAAGCAGCACAGAACGAACCAGAATACTCCAAGTCCCTTACTTTCGTGAGGACAGCTGTGTGTTCTTCTCCACAGCTAATATAAACAACTTTTTGCGTTCGTAAGAGCTTCACATGGCAAGGAGACTCTCGATCTAGAATGAAATATGTAACTTAACACCACTGCCATTCACCTTCGAGATCAAACACACGCGAGGATCTTCGCGTGCATGTTGGGTCGTCCTGGGTTCCCGCCTGCCTTATCAAATCCCTGTCTGCACCTCCCATGTGGATGGCTAAAGAAACCTCATTTTCAGGATCTCTAGAACCTAATTCAGGGTTCCCCAAGACTTGCCAATTTTGTGTGCATGCATGCGCGCGCACACACACACACACAGACACACACAGACACACACACAGAATTTTCCTCATTCCACAAATAGCAACTTTATCCATTCAGCTTTTCCTCTCTTTATTCCAAACCAAACATTCAACCAACCATGAGCAAAACAACAGGCAGGCCCATCATCAAAATCCATCCCAGGGCCGGAGCGATAGCACAGAGGGAAGAGCATTTGCCTTGCACACAGTCAACCCAGGTTTGATTCCCAGCATCCCATGTGGTCCCCTGAGCACCACCAGGAGGAATTCCTGAGTGCAGAGCCAGGAGGAACCCCTGTGCATCGCCGGGTGTGACCCAAAAAAGCAAACGAAAAAAATAATCCGTCCCAAACCTGCCTTCCATCCCACTGCCTCTAGCCTGTCTCCCAGCTCCCTCCCATGAGCCCCCCAGAACCAGGCTCGAGACAGATCCCTCTCCTCCTCAATACCCCCATGTCTCCTGTGACAGAGATGCCCGAACCCTCCCCTCGCCCCGCAGGGCCCTCCCTGACCTCCCTGTGCTCTGGCTCTGCCTTTCCTTCCCTCTGGCCTCGCACCCGAGCACCCCAGCACGGCCCCCTGGTCTCATTTCCCACGTGGCTTTCCACGAGGCCCAGAATCCTCCCGGCTCCCCACCCCTCTATATCAGGAACCCTGATGCACAACCCAGGGCCCACTCCCGGACGTGCCCCGAGCTCTGTGCTCGCAACCCCAGCACGACCCGCAGGAAGCGCGGGAGCAGCTGTTTGGTTCCCAGAGGGGCCCGAGAGGACGCCCAGGGCCGGTTGGCACTAAGACAATGGGAGAAGCAGCCACCCACCTTCATCGTCGCTGAGGCCCAGCTGCCCGGCGTTGTTCATGCCCCAGCCGAAGACGGCGCCGGAGAGGGAGAGGGCGAAGCTGTGCGCACCACCCGCCGCCACCTGGGCCAGGGGGATGCCCTCCAGGGACCGCACGCGCTGCGGACTGGCCTGCGACGGGAACTCCCGCCCCAGGCCCAGCTGCCCATGACTGTTCCTGCCCCACGTGAAGAACTGACCATCTGGAAACAGAGCAAGGTGACTGGTGACGCTGGGAACAGGAAAAGCTCCACTCCCCCAGGAACTGGACTGGACAGTCTTGCCAGCCACCTGCACATGCCCAAGTCCCCCCCCCCCCCAGGGATGCCCACCTCCAGGAGACCCCCACACCCGATCCCCCACACTGTCCTACATCCTTCAAAGGCCATTAGCATCAATGCAGAGAAAAGCCAAGTGTGAACTCGACCCGGTTCTGAACACAACTAGGATGAGACCCACTGGGCAACCCAAACAAGTGGCCACCACACCAAGATTCTGGGGCCTGGCCACGACCTTCCAGGACTGATGAGCCTCTAAGTGGCTTGCATATGTGGCTACTAGCGCACAGATGCTGCATCAAACTCTGTTTCACCTGAAGAGAAACCCAGGTAGCAGGACCCGTGATGAGAGCTCCAAGCCTGCTCAGATCGGGGCTGGGCCTCCTCTCCCCAGCTCCCCAGTTTTCCAGTAGCCTGGCAGTCACACCCACAAACTGCCCCCGGCACCGTGTAATCTCATCATCGGCCAAGATCCAGAGTCTATGAAATAAAGCTCCCGGACCAGAGCCACACAGGACATCCTGGAGTGACATTATACGGCCTCTTATACTCCAGTCCACTGATGTACCAAAAGTCACACACATTTGTTTGGGTTTAACACACATGCTTGTGATCGCTTATGTAAGGGCTTCAATGGCTCCAGGATGGAATACAACAATCTCCACACACTTTCCTCTCATGGCGGTGGGAAGATGCACGGAAGTGGGATTAGTGTTTGAATATTAACTGTAATGAACCATTGTGGACAACTTTATAAAAATGAAATTAAAAAACAAAACAAAAAAATAACACTCTGTCCCAGAGCACAGTGCTACTGGCTTAGGGGGTCTCTGGCTCCTTTTTTCCATTTATCTGGAAGCTTAACCATATGACACAGCGTGGCCGTGGGAGACGACTAAGAAAAATTATTTTCTGTAAATTCAAGAGCAGCGGGGTCGATCCTGCTTCCTGCACACCTTGCCCTCTGAGACCTCAAAGAGCAGCGGATCACCACTTCGTCATGCCACCCCCAGAGAGTAGCAGCTGCTCGGTGGGTAGTGGGCGGGGATGCAGGGGTAACCTGGGGGGTTAAAGGTCTTCCACTACGCAGCATGACACCAAACAGCTAAGACAGAGCTTCCAGATGGACCGAACGTGATCGTGGAGTTTAATGTCTACATTACCAGCCGCAAGAGCCAAGCAATGCCAGTTGCCACAGGAGACTTGCAAGATCGTCTGCTGGTTCAGCTTCTGTATTAACCTGAAACAGAAAAGGATTTCTCAGAAGAGGGTCCACGGACATGGGGTCTTGAAAGGGCTGAGATGATGAGTTCTATATATTGTGCGTACCTTACCCCAATGGAAAAAGTGCAGGCAACACCTCTGCACCTTGGTACACAGGAGGAAGACCATGCAGAAACTTTTCCAGGCTCGCATCTGTGCTCCCACAGGGAGAAGCTAACGCTCTACCTCGTTCCCAGGACTGTGGTGAGAAGTGAATGGAAAAGGCTGCCGGAACGTGCCCAGCGCCACTCCCAGAGCTGAGTCATCCCTGGCAGGGCTTCTGCCATCTTAATGTTTGCAAGCTGGCGCCCTCCTCCTTGCCGTGCATATGCCATGGGGACAAAGGAGTCGCAAAGACACACCCTCAGAAGAGTATCTCAGAAAACACAGGTCCCTGGGGAGGGAGATGATTTAGAAACAGAAACAGGCCTTCTTTTCTCAATGCTTTATTTTCTCAGATACAAAAAAAAAAAAAGAGCTATGGGAGTCCATATGTGTGTCTGGCACCAAATATAACCCAACTACTTTTAGACTTTGCAAAACCCCATGCAATTATAAAAAATAATAGCGTCCCCTGTGTCCTCTGTCTGATTTCCCCCAGCAGTGACACTGCAAACCCACAGTGAAAAACCACAGTCAGGATACTGACCTCAACACAACCCACCACTCTCGCCCGTACTTCTCCAAGTGTGTTTTTTTTTCCCCAATCCATCTTTCTCTACAGAATTCATTACCTGCGTAGGCTCACGGAACTGCCCCTAGTCCCGAAACAGAAATCCTACAGAGACGCTGGTTCTGCTCGGTTAAGCTTTCCTCTCCTCCCTGACCTAACCCGACAGTCACTCACCTCCAACTCCTACAGCTCAGTTAATTCCGAAGGGTAAGCAAATAGGACCCACAACAGGTAAGCTCCTGGTACGAACTTTATCCACACGGACTAGTAAGTCCCTGGACTTTGACCCAAGTTTTGCACATCTGCGTAGTACACAGAGACACTTTTGGGGGTGGGTCACACTCAGACTTACTGGGATCATTGCTCAGGGCTGACGTCTAGCTCGGTACTCAGGGACTATTGCTGGTTCTGTGCTCAGGAGTCACTCCTGGCTCTGATCTGTGCTCAGGGAACACTCCTGGCTTTGCTCAAGGGACCTTATGAGGTGTCAGAAACCCAACTTAGGAAAGACTTGTGCAAGGCCAGCATCCTGCCCCCTGTAAGTCGTCAGCCCCCAAATCCTCCATTAAACTGGAGCATGCCGAGGGATCAGCTCTGAGACATTTTGTCAGTCACAGTCCTTTCTCCTAACCAGCCTATTCCACTCAGAGTTCCACAATTCACCCTTCATTAAAAGTGAAAAAAAAAAGTCACTATTACCTATGGCACCATTTTATTTCTAAAACTATCCTGGTAACTCTTATTTCTGTAATTTGCAGTTTGGGGATGTTTTCTATATTGAGATTATATCCTTTCTAAAAGTGACACCAAAAAAAGTGTTTATTTCGTTCTGGTCCTTATTATCTTGCCAATCCTATTTCTTGATTTATTCCACAGGCAAGGAAACCAAATTCAATATGGAATCAGATTGATGCATAGTAAACAAAATTCTTGTCTTGTCCCTTACTTTAGAAAAACATTCTCACCATTATGAAAGATATTTATTGGTGTCAGGAATTTGACCCAGCGAGCATATATGCCTCAAATGTGTGGTGAGGCCCTGAATTTAATGCCCTAATGCCATACCCAATGCCCACTCCACCCTTCAAAAACAAGAGTAAGTAAGTACAATATTTATTTGTTCTACCTTGGTCGTGACAGGACTTTAAAGGTTTATAAAACACGGTTCTCCTATATTTTCTCCTATTTTTCTAAAGGAAATTATTTTTATTATTAGTGAAGGCTGAAATTCTCAAATACATATCAAGAAAATATATTCTTTCTGGTGTTTGGGGTTTTGTTTTGGGACCACACCCGGGGCTCAGCGGTCAATCCTGGTGGACTCGGAGGACCATATGTGTTGTTGGGGATAAAAATGAGGTCAGGGGATGGAGCGATAGCACAGCAGGTAGGGCGTTTGCCTTGCACGCAGCTGACCCGGGTTCAATTCCCAGCATCCCATATGGTCCCCCGAGCACCACCAGAAGTAATTCCTGAGTGCAGAGCCAGGAGGAACCCCTGTGCATCGTCAGGTATGACCCAAAAAAAAAAAATGCTGAAGTCTTTGAGTAGGCTTGTGATTTCAAGTCGAAAATAAGCCCACTGGGCACTGGTGGAGGGATGGGTATTTGATCATTGTATAACTGAAACCCAAGCACAAAAGTTTGTAAGTCTACAACTGTACCTCATGATGTCTCACTAATAAAAATTTTAAAAAAAAAAAAGAAAAAAAAAAAGAAAAGAAGCCCAACATGGCAGAGTCTTTTTCCTCTTCAAACATTTATCGAGTTCTAAGCATTCTGCTGGCAGATAAAATGCACGGCTCAAACAACTCACATTTCTGAACTAGAGACAGATATCGCTGTTCACGATGATTTGTCACGAGTGTGTGTGTGTGTGTGTGTGTGTGTGTGTGTGTGTGTGTGGTGTCAAGGCTCAAACCCCAGGCCCACACGAGTCAGGCGGGGTCTCTGACCCCAGCACCCCGTGTGGTGAATCCCACGGAACAAGCCCAGCACGACACAAAGGAAAAACAAGGCTGAGTGACAGAGGCCACGCCAGGAGACGCCTCACTGCAGCCGACACGGGGACCCTTCCTGGGGGCCGCTTACCTGGGCACCGCCACTGAGTCCTCAACGGTCACGAGCCCGAGCTGGCCGTCACTGCCCGCACCCCAGGAGAAGAGCTGCCCCCGGTCACTGAGGGCGAGACTGTGGGACTCGCCACAGGCCACATGCACGATGCGCTCATCCGCCAAGGCTCCGATTCGCTCTGAAAGAGACAGACAGACGCCGGCACACGGCCCGGTGAGAGGAATCGCGTGGAGCGACAGGTGGCCAGCTCCACCCCTGACCCGGCGGGACCTCCACCGAGATGCCCAGGGTGCGAGCTGCTGATCGGATCACAAGAGAGCCGGGCTCATCACATCCTCAGTGAGGGCACCACGCCTGCACCCTGCCCCCCCCCCACACACACACGTCCTCATTGGGCACCTGGGACCACGCACACCTGCAGCACCATCTCCCCCAAACACATCCTCAGTAGGCACTGGGGCCTCTGCAGGAAGGAGGAACCCGCAGGCTCATCTCAAAGCTGCTGGGCCACGGAGACCCAAAGGTGGGCAGGCAGGTCACGACTGCCAGGTCGCAGCTGGGAACAATGAGACGCACAGGGACAGGGACTGAGACACACAGTCCCCTCCCAGCCCAGAGCGAGCCACCCTGTCCCCGCAGTTTCAGGCTCGATCTCACGGATCCCAGCAGCGGACAGGAGCTTTTCTAGCTGGGAAAACTGGTCCCAAGAAAACACAGGCGCTGTCTTCAACAGGCCCAAGTTCAGCCTGTCATGTCATGTGCCTTGTAGCGTCACTCACTTTTTAAATATCGGTAGACTCTGGCCTAGAGTCAGAACACGTGCTACGGAAGAAAATCCCGAAGAGAAAAGAAGAAGCGCGAAACAGAAGAAAAGGAACCCTGGAAAATACAGATTGTGCAGAGGGGGCAGAAAGTCTAACAAAAGACACCGTCAGAGGCATAAGTAAGGGACATTCACACGTTCAGAAGACAAAAAAGTTATCTTGGGAAATGAGAAGGCGGAGGCACACGTTGAAAAGAAAAACCATCCAAAGCAGGACTGGAAAGCGGCAACACAGAACAAAAAGGCAAAGAGGGAAACAGAGAGGAAGGAAGGTGGGAGAGACATTCCAGGGACCGTGGGTCCCGCAGGAAGGGACGGTACTGCCCATCACTGCCCGGTAGGACAAAACACAAATGGCGGGAGTGGGGGATGGAGAGAGGGGAAAGAACTTGCCTTGGGTGCGGGGACCCCGGCTGGGTCCCCAGCGCTCATAAGGTCCCCCAAGCACCGCCAGGACTAACAGCCCTGAACACCGCTGGGCATGGCCCAAAAGCCAAAGTGGCAAAAAAGAAACTAGAGGACTATCCCAAGAGGTTCCCTGGCTGAGAAATAAAGAGCTCTAAAGAGAGAAAACATGGGAGTTCAAAAGAAAGAAGAAACAACAGTATAAAACAAAATAATTTAGAGTAGCACTGTAGCACTGTCCTCCCGTTGTTCATCGATTTGCTCGAGCAGGCACCAGTAACATCTCACAACAAATTGTGAGACTTGTTGTTACTGTGCTTGGCATATCAAACATGTGAGGGGTAGCTTTCCAGGCTTTGCCATGCAGGCGGGATACTCTCATAGCTTGCCGGGTTCTCCGAGAGGGGGATAGGAATTAAACCCGGTCCAACTGAGTGCAAGGCAAATGCCCTACCCGCCGTGCTATTGCTCCAGCCCAGTGGTTTATTAAAGTAGTAAAGCAGCTTCAAGTAATAAAACAAAATTTATCACTTCTAGAGATAAATTTTACTAGATACGGGTATCTCATCACTAGATGGGACTATGAACAGGACGACTAGAGGGAGCAGTACGTTCTCAGAATGACTGACAAAGGACTTGTCATCTTGAAACTTCAGTACACAGAAAAGATTCTGGAAGTTTCTGGAAAGGAGAAGTTTATACAACAGAACAAGGCTCAGAATGGCATTAGATCTCCCAGACCCAAGACTGAAAACTCGAAGACACTGAAGCTCCTTGCTTCACAACTCTGAGGAAAAATAACTGAGAGTTTTATACCCACCAACTGTGAATGCAATGTGAGGAGGGTACAAAGCGCCAGGTACTCAGACTCCCACAGTACATTTCCTTCCAGGCCTTGTCTCCTTCTGGGCCTGATACCCCTGCTAGGACAGGCCGGTCCCTCACCAGCCCCCAACATCTTACTCTTTTGTCAACCACTGGGAAATCTGATCTCCTAGCCTGGAAATCACATACAGTCTCCAATGGCACAAACAGAACCCTCTCTATATGACCTACCGTCTAGTTCCTTGCCTTGAAACCTGCCATTCTCCTTGATGTAACTAGTAACTGCATCGTGGATGCATCTACCCATTACTACCAGCCTGGACAAGCTCTTGGAAAACCAATTCCAGTCCATCAAATAAAGCAACTAAAAACAAGCAAACAAACAAACAAACGACAACAAAAACCGTGGAACTGTGATCACTCCCACAACGACACTTGCAGTTCAAGTTGGTTCACTGTATCACTGTCATCCCACTGATCGTCGAATTACTCGAGCAGGTGCCAGTAACATCTCTATTCCTCCCAGGCCTGAGATTTTAGCAGCTTCTTCTTACTCTTCTTTTTCCAACGATTGGAGGCTCTTTCAGGGTCAGGGGAATGAGACCTGTTGTCGTTACTGTATTTGGCATATCGAACACGCCACAAGGAGTTTGCCAGGCTCTGCCCATGTGGGCGGGATACCCTCCGTAACTTGCCGGGCTCTCCGAGGCATAAATGGTTAAATTGGTTAACTGCAGCACTGTAGACTGTCCTCCCGTTGTTCATCGATTTGCTCGAGCGGGCACCAGCAACGTCTCACAACAAATTATAAGACTTGTTGTTACTGTGTTTGGCATATTGAATACATCACAGGGAGCTTGCCAGGCTTTACTGTGTGGGCGAGATACTCTTGGTAGCTTGCTGGGCTCTCCAAGAGGGGTGGAGGAATCGAACCTGGGTCGGCCATGTGTACAAGGCAAACGCCTTACCCGTTGTGCTATCACTCCAGCACAAGTTGACTGACCAATCCCAAAAGACCCTGAATGATCGGTTTGAGGCTCTGCATATTCCTAGATCGAGCAGATGCCATTGGGCTATGCTAGCACACAACAGGGATGAATGGAGAAGTTACTGGCACCCGCTCGAGTAAATCGATGAGTAATGGGGTATCAAGTGATCAAGTGATCAAGCCAAAAAATAAATAAATAAATAAAACCCAAAAGCCCACCCACCTGCTCGGGAAGGGACTGAGATGCACCCCCACACTGGCCAAAGCAGAATGACTCCATTCACGCCGCCCTAGTTAGCAGCATGGGGGCCACAGTGCACATCTCCACACACGGCTTCTTCTGATTCATTCTGTCGACTCTATACTACATTTTGCAGATCATGACAGAGCCTCAACCCACGCGTTCAAGTAATTAAACACACTAAAGCAATATTTGGCATTTTTGGAGGACAGAAGTCTATCTTGTCTCTAATCCGCCCAGAACAACGCTTTAAAGTCTCCGAAGGCCTTTACGATGCTGTCAACTCGAGACGAGCTCAGGTAAAGAGAGCAGATTGGGCTCCTGCCTTCTGCAGAGCTAGGAAACGTTTCTTTCTGCCGAAGGCCATTTGGGTACTTACACCGTCATTCTAAATGTACTAAAGAAAACCATCACTCATGGGCCATTACAACACAGGCAAATGGGCCGCGAGCAGCTGAGAAGCAGAACCCACATCTGTCCTGTCGTCGCCCAGGGCCAGGCCACACAACTGTGTGGGCCCCAGAGAGCCCGAGGTCTGGTGTCCACCCAGGCAGAGACATGAGCCAGTAGTCCAGCCGGACTCACACAGGAGGGCTCTGGCCACTTAGCTTTTTGGGGTTTGGTTTTGTTTTCTTTTGGAGTCTTCCTGGGCAGTGCTCAGGACTAACTGCTAGTTCTGTGCTCAGGGGTCACTCACGGTGGACCCAGGGGCCACAATGAGGTGCCAGGGATCAACCCGGGTTGGCCGTGTGTAACATGAGGGTTGAACCCGCTTTACTATCTCCAGCCCAACCACTTTACTTTGGAGCGCATCATTTTTTTCATGTATTTTTCAAGCTCCTGATCAATTTGTGATGTAGTCATCGAAAATGTAACATTAAATCATCAAAGGGTAGTCACGGGGAAGGATGAATTCAGTGATGGTGCCTGTGTTATCCCTAACAATGACCCTTTGAGGCAAAGGCATTCCAAGACCCCTGCGAAGGTACCAAGTCTGGCCCAGGAATAGCACCGCAAGTAAGCAGGCGTGCTGAGAAGGCTCCCAGGGCTTTCTGACCTCAACATCCTCCATGACCACTAGGCTACACTGTGCTCCTGCAGGTGGAGATGTCAGTCTCAAAGCCCGGCTGAGTTTTTCAACGGATTAATTTCTAGATGAAGCTTGTCCTGAGCCGTGGGGTCTGGCTGGGAGTTTGGTGGCGACTGTGGAGTGTGGAGGTTTTCAGCTGCCAGGCACAGAGCCACATTTTTTAAATAACATTTTTTTCTTCCACGATTTAAAAGGAAACCACTCTCCACACGCACAAAGGAACCGGCAGAGGAACCCAGGCATGCGGGTCCCAGGGCTGAGATCTCCAAGCCCACTCAGATCGGGACTGGGCCTCCTCCACCCAGATGCCCCATCTTCCAGTAGGTCGGCGTCACACCCACCAACTGCCCCCGGCGCCAGGTAATCCCATCAATAGCCAAGACCCAGCGACTTAAAACCCAGCTCTGGGAAGCACGCGGCCGTATTCGTGGCCACGCGACATCTCATTATCTAGTTCTTACTCTGGAGAACCCAGCAGGCTACCGAAATCATCCTTCCTGCACAGCAGAGTCTGGCAAACTCCCCGTGGCGTATCCAATATGCCAAACCCCACTGACAAAGATGGGTCTCATTCTCCTGACCCTGAAAGAGCCTTGGATGTGGCACTTTTTAAAATCTCAAGGGCTAGGACAAAGGAGACGTTACTGGTGCCTGCTCAAGGAAATCGATGAACAACAGGATGATTGTGATTGTGACTGACGTTTTAAAAATACCAACAAAGCCCATAAACTATCTCGGTTCAACAAAACTGCCATTAAAAAAAAAAATGAATGTATAGTTCTCCCTACATGCTCCACCTTGAGCTG